GGTCTACTAATCTTAGCCCTTATACCATCAAACATGGATTATCAGCTTCCTTGGCAATCGAAAACAGCGGGTCGTCGTGGACGAAAAAATTACTGGTTATGTTGACGTTTTCAGAGGGGTGCCCGATATAAAGCTATCGTAGTTGATCCAAACAACGGGATCGTAAAATATGCCAGTGACATCACCATTACCGTGCCCTTTAGAAGGAACTGTGACACAGCCCTTATGGAAGTTAAGAGAGCTGGGCAGCCAACAATTACGATGTCTTTGAATTTGTCAAAGGCGTGGGAAATGCTACTGCATTATTTCTTGATATCCTCTTTTAACCTAATTAACCTAGCTTCAGCAGTAGTAGTAGTAGTAGTAGTAGTAGTGGTAGTAGTAGTAGTAGTAGTAGTAGTAGTAGCAGTAGCTGTAGCAGTAGTAGTAGCAGCCGCAGCAGCAGCAGCAGCAGTACCAAACCACCACTACCTACCACTACCACTACTACCACTACCACTACCACTACCACTGCCACTGCTACCACCACTGCCACTGCCACTGCCACTGCCACTGCCACTGCCACTGCCACTGCCACTGCCACTGCTACTGCTACTGCTACTGCTACTGCTACTGCTACTGCTACTGCTACTGCTACTGCTACTACTACTGCTACTGCTACTGCTACTGCTACTGCTACTACTACTACTACTACTACTACTACTACTACTACTAGAACAAGACATAGTACGTTTTTCTTCGATAGGATCAATAATTCTCATGGGTGACTTTAACTCGAGAACCGGGAAATACTCTGATACTGTCTCAAAGGAGGGAAACAGTATAATTAGTAATGATCAGTCGGAATAAGCTTTCCAGCCAACTCAAAGAAATAGTTTTGATAATGTTTTAAATAGCCATGGGAAACGGCTGTTGGAAATTTGTAAAACCCTTGACCTAAGAATAGTTAATGGCAGAGTTAATGGAGATACCCTGGGCAGACCCACTTTTCATGGAAAAAACGGGACGAGCGTTATTGATTATCTCATATGTGATCAGTGCACATTTCTCAACGTTGCAAATTTTGTTGTTAAACAGCGATCTTATTTATCGGATCATAGTGCCATCGTGGCATGGCTCAATCTTAACACCAGGCTAATTGGAGACGAAACGCACACTCCAAATGGTAACAATAGATTATCAAATTACCACGGCAATTTTGCTGGGAAGTTGACTCACATTTCAAATTCAAAAACGCACTGCGCACGGAACCCATCCAAATTCTAATAAGACAATATATGGAGAGAAACACCGAAGATGTGAATATCTCCTTAGAAAACGCTATGACAATTCTAACTGAGACCTCCAAGCTATGCCTAAAAATTAAAGCTAAGAAAACTTATAAGCGTAATAAGAAATCATCCAACAAGAAATGGTTCGACTGTGAATGTCGCTTGAAAAGGCATGAATTACGAAAAGTCTCAAATGAAACGGCGTGCGACAAACGCAGACTGCAGAGGCTTGCAGACTGGCAGGTAAACGAGGAAAACTTTGTTGTGGAATGCTTTAACAGGGTCCCTATCCTTAAAGTTTAAGCCATTTAAAGGTCTAGTTTAGGGATAGGGAATCTGTTAGAGCATTCTTCAGCAATGTTTACTTCGTTTATCTGCCAGTCTGCAGTCTGCGTTTGTCGCACAGCGCAAATTCAAATTGAAAAGCACCGTGACCCCCTCAACTCCGAAGTGCGGGAGCGATATCACAAAACCTTGAATGATTACAAAAAGCTGCTAGACACAAAGAAGAGAGGATTTCACAAAGAAAAAACATTACAACTCGACGAACTAGCTTTAAATCCTGACAAGGCATCATTTTGGAATTGTTTAAATTCGATGAGCGACACTTTCAACGAAAATGTTCCTGCCCCAATCTCGGAAGAATCATGGCTTCACCATTTCAAATCTCTGCATTCTATTGACCCGACGAATTCCACGCATGAACATGAAATCCATAGGGAATTAAATTCTTTAGAAAACGAAAAGGAACAGTTTACCCATCTCGACTATGAGATAACTGAGAGGGAAATACGTCAAGCGGCGAAGAAATTGAAAAATAAGAAATCACCATTTGTCGACAAAATACGAAATGAAATGATCAAAGCAAGCCTCGAACCGCTAATGCCTGTCTATGTCAAACTTTTTAACCTCATTTTTCAATCCGGAAAAATGCCAGATGTTTGGTGGCAAGGCCTCATAACCCCAATTTACAAATCTGGTAACAAGAGTGATCCAACAAATTACAGAGGCATATGTGTTTCTAGTTGCCTTGGAAAACTGTGCTGTTCTATTTTAAATCGAAGACTTCACTTGTATTTTGAGGAAAATAAGATATTACATAATTCCCAAATTGGCTTTTTGCCTGAAAACCGCACTGCAGACCATGTTTTCACTCTAAGGACCCTAATAGATAAATATGTGCATTATCACATGGAATAAGTCTACGCTTGTTTCGTAGATTTCCGCAAAGCGTTTGACTCTCTTTGGCACGAAGGATTGTATTATAAGCTGCTAAAAACGAATATAGGAGGAAACTTGCACAACCTCATGAAAAGCCTTTATTGCAACTCGACATGTTCCATCAAAATCGGTGAAAACAAAACACAGCCTTTTTCATATTCCAGAGATGTACGTCAAGGCTATATTTTAAGCCCTCTTTTATTTAACCTCTATTTAAACAATCTACCACATTTATTCGAAAACACCTTTTATCTGACCCATTTGTACTTCCAATTGAGAAAAAAATAAATTCACTTTTGTACGCAGATGATTTAGTTATTCTATCAAGATCGAAAACTGGATTACAGAACTGTTTAAATGCGCTTTCCTTGTATTGTGACAAATGGAAGCTAAAAATTAATCCGAAGAAAACAAAAATTATGATATTCCAGAAACGCCCAAAAAAATCTATTGACATCAAATTCAACACAGGCAGTGAGTCAATTGAAATTGTCCAAGAATACACTTATTTAGGTACACGTTTAACTTCAACGGGAAACTTTACACTTGCACTCGAACACTTAAAAGAGAAGGCCCTTCACGCGTTTTCTAGTATTCGGAAGCGGACAATTCTTAACAAACTTAATCCTAATACTGCATCCCAAATTTTTGACACGATGGTATTCCCAATCTTGAGTTACAACAGCGAGGTATGGGGAATGTACACCAAGCAAGATTTTAAAAAATGGGATAGCTCCCCAGTAGAAAAAATCCACCTCAAATTCTGTAAACGTTACTTAGAGGTTAACAATAAGGCCTCTAACATAGCTTGCAGAGCTGAACTTGATAGATTGCCGCTGCTTGTCCCGATAAATCAGAAAATTATGAAATATTTTGTTTACCTCAACAACAAAGATAATGACTCTATAGTCAAACAGTCTTTCCTTATGACAAAGAATCTACATTCTATGAATAATTCAGGATATTTTTCCAATTTCATAAACATGTTTGAACAATACAATCTAACCAGTTTAGATGCTGAATCTCTAGATAATGATAAAATTAGACGATATACCACAGAAATGAGAGAGAAATATCTATCTTTTTGGCGGCAAAGCCTTGAAAATTCAAAAAAACTAGAATTTTATAAAACTTTTAAAGATGAATATTCTACATCTGATTATCTCTACCAGCTAAGACATTATGACGAACGACAGAATTTTGTTAAATTTAAAATAAGTAATCACAAACTTATGGTTGAACATGGTCGATACCAAATCGATCATTTGCCAAGAGAAAATAGATTATGTCCCTTATGTAACTCAAATCAGGTAGAAGATGAGATTCATTTCCTCTTTCAATGTAACAAATACTCAGTACAGAGACAGGCATTTATTAATCAAATCAATCGAATAATACCTGACTTTGACAAGAAATCATCTCCAGAAAGCATAAAACTGATAATGAATTCGAAGGAACATCATGTAAATAAGTTAGTTATGAAGTTTGTTTCCTCCTGTATGAAAATACGTGATTCATTATTAGTAACGTAACTGAATTTTCCTAGATTATTATAAGTGCTGTTTGTTCTATATTTTGATTGTCATATGCATGCTTTTGCAATACTGTAAAATGATGCGGTCATGCAAATAAAGCAATTTATTACTATTACTATTACTACTACTACTACTACTACTACTACTACTACTACTACTACTACTACTACTACTACTACTACTACTACTACTACTACTACTACTACTACTACGTTAATTTCCTTTTATATTTTTATAAAAATGTCTATAATATTATATAATATATATATATTTTTCAATTTTCAGCACGTTGTCTGGTTGTTCACTTAAACAGAGCGACAATCATGTCTTCCTACTGCGATGTGGTGGAAATGAACCGTTTATTCCCATCACTCAGGTTGTAGCTTGCTGTGTTTGTGAAGGAGAATAGGGACTTTAAGATCCAACGACGCCACGGCAACGAGAACGTCTCCTCAAAAGTGAATTTGCTAATAAAAACTATTGTTATTTTTACGTTCTCGTTGCCGTCCGCGTCGTTGGATCTTACATTCCCTAATGGCATACGTTAGCCGACTTGATCGAAAAACCCTCGATATATCATATCATTTCTAGGGTATCCGCCGTCAGGTTTAAAAGTCCGTTTAATTTATTACTTTGAAATATTTCAACTATAACCACTCGTGCCGCCCCGTCGTTTTGACGATGGTGAGAGGGTTTTTATAAACAAGCCATCATTGTCTTCTTTAGTATTATGCAGATTTGAACAGAATTGTTTGTCAAGCTTATAAATATTCCTGAGAGTTAATTCGCATATTTTACCTCAGTGGTTTCTGTCGGTTTCTGTATAGGTCAAAGAAGTGTTCTTGTTCGGTGCACAATGACCTTCTGTATATTAATTATTTATACTCAACACTTATTTTATGCAAACGCCGCCCCACGGGTAACCGGATCAATGCTCTCTTCTCGCATAAGCCGAAAGTTTAAATTTCTATTTCTAGTTTTGGGATTCAGGTATGTGTACGTTGCTTTTTGCTTCTTTCCTTATGTTTCCAGGTGGGTCATATAGAGCCACTACAAATGTGCGATTCCCATCAGCACTGTTGGCTGTTCCAATCCCGATCTTTTTTGATCCCTTCCATATAAGTTGAGTAAAGTCTTTATTTGAATCACTAATTTCCGGGTCTTCAAAGTTGTAGCTCTTGACCTCGCTGTACCATTCAGCGGTTGCCTTCTCGGCAGCGATGTCATAATTGTGCCAAATCTCAGCGGTGTTCATACCAGGTCGTTTAGTTCCCAAATCTTTCAATGGGATAGAGTTGTCAGCCATTTCTTTTGCGATTTTTTGTGCCTTAGCAGCCAAATCACTGGACCACTTGAGTGGAGGACTTTTATGCCACGCTCTGAACTTGTTATGCAGACGAAGACCTGCTCTTCCTAATTGTTCTTTAAAGGTAGGAATACAATGAGAAACAAATGTTGATTAGATTCAGATCAATAGAAAAGTGTTTTTCCGTGTTTATCGTCTAAATTTTGAGGATTTCCGCTGTTCATAGATTTAATAAACTATAGTCCTTCTGAAAGCGATTGTATAAAGTCATCTTCTCTTTTGGCATTTGGTCAAACATTTCGGATAGTTAACAATAACCTCATCATTTTCGTTACAAATTCCTTTGGTTTGTTTGTGAGCTGGATCTTAACCAGTTAAAGCTCTTCCTCCCCCACCCCCTCCATGCAATGTTGTAGCGCAGTTTGAACCACCTCTAGAAATCAACAATTGAAAACACCCCTTTGAATTAATTCACAACTTTGAATTAATGGAGGGAGAAGGGGTTTGGATTGTTTTGCTTTCCGAAGTTAACCCATTTGAGAACATTGTGTCAATAATTTTGTTGCAAATTGCAGCTCGCCGATCAGTGAAAGGAAAATTTTAAATCATATTAACGTCAAGATAAGAGTTGTGTTTTTGTTCGGTTTACAAACCTGCTTCGTGCTGAATTTGGTAAATTCGTCAATTTTATATGGAAAATGGCCAGTTTCAAACAATTTGGTAATTTGCCATCGGTTTGGTCAGATCTGAAATAAGTTTCGAAAACATTTCCCAACATATTTCAGGGACCACGTAAAACTTTCCTTACACAGGTACTTAATCTAGTGTTCTCCTTTATTTAAGTCTGGGTTTTTACATTGTTTTTGAGCTTGTTCTTACCGGGACATGCTTCCATGAAACAAGCCTTGCTCTCTGTTCTGTATCCCTTACACTGTGTTCCTTCGCACAACCTAGCTCTGGCCTGAATACCCTGACCACAAGTCACTGAGCAGGGTGACCAAGAGTTCCTTTCTCGTTCTAAACAATTGTCAAAATGAGTTAAAAAATTAAAAATTAGCATTTGAGTGAAGTAAAACCCGCATATAATACGCTAATGGAAATAAGAAAGACACCCATTTTACAAAAACCATTTGGGAGTGAAGAGGTACGCAAATATATCCATTTTTCATTCACGTGGTCAAAGACTAGACTTTAACTGGCGGCGTGTTGAAATTCCAGAACAAAAACTCTTGACACCCTATAGGAAGTAGTATTTCGATGCAAAGAGATAAAACGCTTGAAAACGCCGTAAAACAACGTGGCAGGCAGACTGCAAAGCAGTCCATGTTGCGCCACCTTCACGCAAACTTTGTGGGTGCTATTGGCTTGCTGTTAGGCCGGTAAGGTAGATTGGGACGCACTAGAACACAGACCCATGGCGTCGGGGATATTAGGCCGAAGCTGAAAAAACCAATACACTTCAAACCAATTACACCCATAATCTCAACATATTTCTTAAGGAGGCTTAAAATAACAGCCTATTTCCGAGTTCAAAAACCCCTTGCTTTCAAAATAAGTCTCAGTTGCAAAAACCTTGTTAACATCAGTTTCATTTTAAAAAACTTTTTATTTACCCTTGTAGTGAAGAAAAGATAGGAAAAATCCAATTATCTATTGTTTGAAAAAAGGTACCTTGGTGTATTATGTTACTGGTAGGCATATAACGAGCCGGAGCTTCACTGAGCCTTTCCCTGCTTATTGGAGAGTCCTCGATGAATTTGGAAGGCCTGAGGAAATTCTTCAAGGAAAACGCTTTGTTATTGTCCACATTTTCCCTCAGATTTAACTTAGAAGGAAATAACTCAGATGGTGGGGACTTCCCAACCCCGGCAAACGAGACTCGGCTTAGTTCGTCGTACTTAGTCGGGGACATCAGACTAAGGGAGTGAAGAGCGGTTGGTGATAAAAATACGAACCGACCACTTGTTGGCCTCACGGCAGACATGACTTTATCGTCATCTTGGAGAATATCTTTCGCTTCACTGCGTGCGATCTCATCTTGATTTAGCTTTGCATTAGTTTTTCCCAGAATCTGCCAACTTAGCATTTCTTTAATTGGTTTTTCATCGTAACTTCCAAAAGTGTCTCCTTTCTTGACAGGAAATTCCTGTGTTGGATTCGTCTGAGATTCCCAGAGATAATGGTTCATTTTCTCACCGTCTATTGCCATTTTAAGTTTTGTACTGTCTTTCTCATTTTCGTTTAGAATTGCTTTGCTGGATATTTCTTTTATCGTGTCTGTGTCCACTAATTTAACGTTGCCTGGAACTTTGAGTAGAAGTGAGCCATCATTGCTCGTTCCCGCCTTAAAACTTACTGGTTCTCCAGCACCAGAAATTTTAAATGTAACATAGTTTTCCTTTTTTAGGTCCACTTCCTTTGGTGGAATTTGTTTGTTCAGCGTTGTCTCATCGGAGGGCATTTCAGAGTTTTGAAGCTTTTTCTCTAAATCAGCAGCAACGTTAAGTGATGGCTCTCGAACAGTTGGTGTCTGTTCTTTAATCATGCTTGATGCTGCCAATGGATCCGCTTGAAAGACATGTCCTTCTATACTAAGTTTGATTCCCTTTGGTAAAAGGAGTGTCTGAGTTGTTTCCTGAGAGTCATGAGTGAACGCTTCCTTAAGTGGGATCCTTCCAGACGTAAATACATTCCCCTGCGAAGGAACTGTAGGAAGATTTGTGATTTGTTTAGGAGACGTCGTTGAGGTAACTTTACTCACCAGCAACCTGTCAACGCCCACATCTTGTTGATTGAGATTCCCTCCCAGAAGCTTCTTAAGCATGCTCTGCTGACCATCTCCTTTCGTTTGTTGTTGAGATTCGTTTCGCTGTTTCAACATATCCTGAACGACCTTTCTACCAATCATCGCGTAGAGATCTGAATGATCAGACGGTGAACCTTGTTTGTCCTGATCATTGTGATAACCTTGAAAGATTTCTTTGTCTTGAGGATCCAAATCATCCTCATTCTTTGGCATTTCGAAAGGGCTTTTTAACATTTCCAATGGATTGTTTTTGTCATAACCACCATTGTTGGAGTGGGCGTCTGACCCTTCGCTGTAGTCTGATTCCTTGTAGCTGTACTCAGGCAAAGGGTTGGTAGTGTACATGTCACTTACTTTTCCTACGTTGGATTCTTGAGGCTGGTCGCCCTCAATCAGACTGATTTGGCGATAAAAATCCTTATCCACTCCCTCACTGCGAAAAGCGCCTTCAAAAAACAAATAAATAAATAAATAACAATAATAATAATAATAATAATAATAATAATAAGCATGGCCAGTATCCAAAGATCCTAGAGAAGCCTCATGTAGACACAGTCATCACCAACAAATGGTTGTCAAGTAATTTGAAAGGAGAAACAGAGGGACTACTTGTTGCAGCTCAAGACCAGGCAATAAACACCAGAAATTACCAGAAAGTAATATGTGGCCAGCAAGTGGAGAGCAAATGCAGATTGTGTTCGCAGCATGAAGAGACAGTGGACCATATTGTATCTGGATGTGAGGTATTAGCCAAAACAGAGTACATCTCCAGGCACAATAACGCTGCAGCATATCTCCATTGGAGCATATGTAAAGATCATGATATAGAGATTACAGACAAATGGTACGAACACGAACCAGAGACCGTGATACACTATAAAGATAACAACATCACCATCATGTGGGACATGCCAGTCAATACTGATAGAACTATAACAGCGAACAGACCAGATATCATCGTTAAAGATTCAGTGAATTCCACCTGCAAACTTATTGATATGACTGTTCCATCAGATAGAAACATCGCACTGAAGGAAACTGAAAAAAAATGCAAGTACAAAGACCTAGAACTAGAAATACAGAGAATGTGGCATATGAAAACAGTAGTGATCCCTGTGGTTGTTGGTGCGCTTGGTACAGTGAAGAAGGGTACGGTAGAAAACATCAAGAAAGTATCAGAAAGAGCTAATATGACAGAGATTCAAAAGATCTGCATGCTGGGATCTGCACGAATCCTCAGAAAGGTGCTCAGTGTATGAACAGAATGATTGACTTGAGTGACTGACGCTCTAGGTGCATGGTTTGCGCCCGGCTGATGCACAAAAAGAACACCAGCAAAGACTGTGATAATAGAGACAATAATAATAATAATAATAATAATAATAATAATAATAATAATAATAATAATAATAATAATAATAATAATAATAATAATAATAATAAAACGCAACAAAATTACAGTTAGTATCGCCTTACCGCCGCTACTCCTTTTTTTTGACATATTTTTATGTTAGTGGAGGCAACGGGACCGATGGGTCCGGCGGTCACAAGTCCACTTGCTGGATATCTTCCTTGGTCATCCCGAGTCCAGACCCTCGGCCTCGCTCGTAAATGGCGTACTGGTAGTCTCCTTCCGGCCGGCGATTGTAATTGTGTAATTACACATGTTCTATTTGTATTAGATGTTTCTAATTATTCGAGTGGAAAGCTTGTAAACTAGCAGAAAAGCTAAAAAATATACTTTCACTTTTACCTTTTTTAACCTAAATTCGCGTATGGGTTCCAATGAGGCTCTCGCGATTGGACTCGCAATCGAACGGTCTTAGGTTCGAGTTCCGCTTTGACAAGTATCTCGATTTGTTTTTCGGTCGTCTCACGTTCAAATCCTTGGTCATGTCTAAAATAGCCACATGGCTGCCTCTTGCAAGATGGACTTTCAAATCCTTTTATGTTATATTTACATTTTCTGTTTCAAGTTATTTGAATGGAGTTCCTGTTGACAGGTTACAGAGGCTAAGCCCAGTTCTAGCCTGCTATAAAACAAACATTTATCACTATGTACCGCAGAAACAATAAAAAACCATAGGCCTAAGAAGTAGAGTCGTGCAATTTGAAAGGTTTCGCTGTTATTCGATCCCTATTTTGCACGACTCTGGCTTCAAAACATTGGTTCTGCGTAATTTGAAAGTCCCCAGGAAAGGTGTGGAAGAGATTTATAAAAAAAAATCTCAGTGGAATTGCAACGCTGGTAACATCACTGCTAATTTCAAAGAAAATATACTTTGCAAACAATAATTTTGTGTGAACTTAAGTAAAAACTTCTTTCCATTAAAAAACTGAAAGGGATAACCGTTTTAGATGTGTGGGTGTCGTAGAAAAAGGCCTTTTCGCTGGGTATCTGCACATTTCTTTAGGTGGCATCCTAAAAAATAATTAGAAATAATTGCCAGAGCCCCCTCGAAGAAGCTCTTAGCTGTGACATTGTACTTCAACGTGCATTACGTTTTACAAAGCATGCACGTGCAGAAGTAAAGTTGACTCTTACTCAAGTCGTCTTTGAGACCTCTTTCAAGGTTGAACCCTGGTCTTTCCATTCCATCACTCTTTATCTGCTGAACGAAGTTCCTACTAATCCTTTTAATATCTGAAGGATAAGAAATCGGGGTTACCCTGTTAAGTGTAAGGTTTACTTTAATTTTGTCAGAAATTAATTTAACGTGGCAATTCGTTTCTTGAGGTCTTCAATACCTAGGTGACAAGCAGCTGTTGGACGAGATTGATGTAACAGCGGTAATAGCAACCTCGCGTTGTTTGATATGTTACTTACTCTTATTTCCGTCTCCTTCTCCTTGTAGTTTTGACGCTATTCCAGTCGTTGGATCCTCGTGATTCCCCCCAGTTTCTACAAAAATTGAAAACAACAAACAAACAAACAAATGATGTTAACTAATTTCGACATTTGAAGGCCATGGGCACGACACGAAATTCAAGCTTTCTTTCGGCCGTTTGAAAACGTTTTTATTTCTTTCACGAAGTTCTTAGTCTGCCAACACAGACATATTTCCGGTCGTCGCTTCTCTCCACCCGAAGTTCTCTATGAATCGTTTGCAATGTGAACAGTTCGTGTACTTATTTAATCAAACGTTTGTTTCAGCTTGTTCTTCTTCTGAAGAGTTCTTACGATTCCGAGGGTGTGCATAGTTGACGAACGTAAAGTTAAATGCGACCATTTGAAAAGAAGAAAACACCTGTATCAAATTGATTCACCAAACGCTGATCAAGCGGCGACAAGTGGCTAGAATAATCCAGAGCGCTGTTTGTCAAACGTTGTTCATCTGCCAAATGAAAAAGACATTACATAGTAGTTAAATAAATGATAACTGGTGAAAACGATATACTTCTATCAAGTTAGGAGTAAAGAAGCTGGAGGTGAGTGTGCTGTACTCTTTCACTTCCTGCCAATTGGGATTCTTTACCTTGCCGCACTTTATTTGTATTAAAAACACTTTCAAATCAAAGCAAAACGGGACGCTTCTTATAAACAATCTTTGAAAGAGAAGACTAGTTTGTCGCTCGTTGTGGGAATAAAAGGCACGAGATGTTCGTGTGGCCTTGCTGGTTTTTTCTTTGTCAATATACTGACGCTAAACTAAAGTATTGCAAGACACCTACATTTCAAAGTTTTACACTAGACAATTGATTTGCATAGAATTCGATAGATTAATTGCAAATATTGACTAGTCTCTTTTGTAACAGCTTTTCGCCCCATACAAGGAAATCCAACACAGTTTTGGATTCTGGATTCCACACCGCGGATTCCGGATTCTTTGTCAGTGGAACGTGGATTTTGGATTCCAGTCTTTAGTGGTACCTGGATTGCTTGAGGTTTATTCCCAGATTCCATAACAAAAATTTTCTGGGTTCGACGGATTCCACGAGCAACAATTTCCTGGATTCCGTCAGATGGGGCGAAGGGCTTTGGAGATTGATACATTTCGATTTTATTTTTACCTTGAAAAGCTGGTAGTTGATCTAGCAGATTTACCTCACTTTTCCTTGAACTGCTTTCTTCTAAAAGGTAATTAGAATCATTCATTCATTGTTGTGTCCACAACTGAGTTGAATGATGTTGGGCGATGTTGGACGGAATGGTCAAAGCAACCCAACATGGTTTAAAATGTTTCATGGAGTGTTAAATGCGACAAGAATTCTTGGCAAATTATTTGACGTCCAAAACGTGGGACGCAGGTACAGGATCATTGCCTTTTCTTTTGAAGTGTAATTTCGTGCACAGCTGTATGTGCATACATGTTTCAAGAGATGTTCAAAAATGACCATCGTACTGGGATATGATCCATTGCACGAAATAGACTGAAACAGGGTCATTTTATATTTAGTTTGTACTAACCTGTGTTTCTACTCAGTAGAACCTCTTCTGGTTTTATTCCAATAAGGGCAGAACGAACTCTTTTTTCTTCGGGATGGATACCTATTCTTGTGCCATTTGCCCGTTTTGGTTTCTTTCCAGAGGAACCTAGGGTGACATTTGTAATGGCATTGAGCTTTCCTTCCTGTCTGTTATGCTTTTTCTTTATTGTCAGAGAAAGTAAGGCATATTTATATTTTTATGTTTCAACTTACCTTCTGTCAAGAAGAGCAGCAATAATAATGTAGTCTGCAACGGCGGTAGCTTGAACATTTCTGAAGCCTTTTAAGGGTTCGCGCCACCGAAAGCGGGGCTGTATTTCCTAAGTTTAAGAAAAGCATTAACAATGAAACAATTCATCGTGTGCTCATGAAGGGTCTATAAAAACTAACTTTGAAAACGTTTTTATAAGTGTGCTCCTTTTAAGTGCCGCACAGCCACTTTAACACTTAGCTAATCTAAGCAAGCAGATTCCAGCAATTCAATGCACTTATCGGATAAGCCAAACTGAAACATTGCCCAGGAAGTGCAACCGAATAATTTGAGTATTTTTTCTTGTTTCTGTTTGATAAAACATCATTAGAAAGCAATTAACTGTCCAACGATAGTGTGTGAAATGCTTTTCGCATTAAAAATAAAAAATCTGTTCGCTCTTTAAGTCACATCCTGTGCGCGTTACAATTGCTCACCTTGAGGCTTGACAGGGCCAAAAAAGATTCATTTCTTAAGCTATGTTTTTTGGTCAAGAGCTACAGTTTTGCTTTTTATAGGCAAAGTTCATTGATACCGATGCAGTTTGCTGCCACCGTAAAAATTACTGTACCAATCATATAGCAGCAAATATATATTTACAGTGCTAGTTCTTTGGCACGGCGATCAGGTTTGTTAGTATAACAGATGCTTGATTTAGTGGTATTGTCTTTATAACAAATTCCACTTATCCAAATGGCACTTAGTTTTGAATAAAGACGTCCATTTTACATCTTCCTGTACTGACTAAATGTGAGCTGCCTGGTTTGAGTAGACTGCGCTGGAAACAATACATTTAAATAGTTTCGCGATCAGGTTTCCTTTCCTTTTTGATTCGTTTGAAATTACAAAAATGGTAGTATAATTGCAATACTGACATATTTATTGCCTGTACTACATGAATTGCTGCAATACCTAAGTAGAATTTTGAAGATCACTTTATACCTTTCTCGTTAAGATTATTTCATCAAATTTAAAGCAAATGAACTCTTAGGGCTTTGAAAGCTCTTGCCTAGGTGCAGACAACTTTCACTATAAATAATCATATAGCTTCGTATCTTTTCTCTGCCTTTTTTAACAAATACTCAACCTCTTGGCGTTACATATATTTCACCTTCCAATTCACGCCACAAGTCACGTATAACGATGAGTTGGATAGATCCTCATATATAACCGAACTAGAGGAGAAAGTATAAGAACACTTATCATTCACATTTCGGAACTCTTTCCGCAATTTTTGTGCTTTTTTCCCTTTTTCAGATGGAATCCATTTTTCACGACCGAAAAAGCCTGTTGTTAATTATGCAAGACAAGTGGTGCAGGTTGTCTACTCATGACATAATTGAATTGTGAAAGCACGGTTGACCAGCCCAAAGAAAAGGTATGTCTTTGATTAACCGGTGCAGGCTATGGTTCAACAGTCATCATGTGTTGGGTGCCTAAACTAAGTGACTAAAAATCTTCAATAAAGTAACTCACTCCATTAAACCGAGATAGAAACCTTAACCATCAGTAAACGAACAAAATCCTTACTGTTGGTCTTTTCGTTGGCAGTATTGGCGGGAAAATTGTAAACTGTTGAGTAGTTTGTCATCTAAAATTATTGTGCATATTTCATCTCAGCCACCGTACTCCTCCGTTAGATACAAGTAAAGTGAATCCAATATTTTAATTAGCGACGTTTGATTTTGGAATCTTTGTCACTGATTAAAGGGACCAAAAACAAGAAAGGGGTGAATGAGTAACTAATGAAATTAGTGATTAGAACTTGAAATATTCCTCGACCATCACTTCTCCTCGATTTGGTTGTGGCGGGTATTTGCTTAATATAAAAAGTGTCTGTAGAGAATTGATAAAAAAAAAAAAAAAAAAAAAAAAAAAAAAGAAAGAAACGAATAAACATACCAAACATCAAACATACCACCTTGTCGAATGTTAGTAACATCAGGAATTACGCTTCAGTTAGCTTACCTTTTCCTTATTCACAACACTGGGTCTTGTTATCCTTTCTTTTGCTGACCTTCATTCCAAAGAGCTTATAGAAGAATTGAGCTGGGGCAGCAATAGATCTCCAGAAAAAAATGAGGAACTATACATTTATTCCAAAATAATGTAAGCTGGCTCATTTAAATTATCAAACACTTCAATATGCTTACTCTTGATACTGAAGAAATCTTGACAGAGGCAAAAAGATTTGCGGTCAAAGCCTTTGCGTCTTAATATTAACCTTGTTGCAATCTGTAAAGTTTAAAAACCTTTCGTACAGCTGCAGACAAGATTGATGTGTAAAATGATCTTAGAAATTACTTTTGCTGGTGCCTGGGCTTAAGCAGTTTGGACGGGCTATGTTGCGGGCCGGGGAGTAGGGTCTTATATTGTGCCGAGGCAAGGAACGTTAATTTGAAGGCAGGATCTAAGAACAGAATTTTTAACTACTTAAAAGTACAGTCGAACCTCCCGTAAGCGATCACCCAAAATGCAAGGACTGAGTGGTCGCTTACGGGAGGTGGTCGCTTACAAGAATCGAACCACAGGGGCTCTCTTCCGAGAAGAGGTCCAGACACATCTACTTTATGGAAGATGTTTATTGCATGCAATTTCTAAATTACGCCATGTGTCACCAAAGTTCTTCGTACATTCTTAGTAGCTGGTGCTGGTGTTTTGGATTGGTGGTCGCTTACGAGAGGTGGTCGCACTTGGAGGTTCGACTGTTGTTAGTTTTGATTACAACTGGCTTGCTCTGATTGCTCTAATATAAACTAGCTTAGCATCTCAGGAACGTGCCCTGCCCTCAGTCACTGTTTCTTACACTTACCGGTAACTCTGCTCTATTCGACAATGGTGCATCAGTTTTGCACACACTAAAAAAACCTCTAAACAAAACTATGTCTTTAATTTAATATTATATTTAACCCTGTTTTGCTCTTTTAAATATTGTTGCGTATACGTCCTCGGTCATTGTCCCTTTATTGATCACGTTGTCCCTTAATCTTCTTCGATCGTTTCCGGGAGGTCTGTACAAGGCTACCACGTACAAATCATTCGTAGCCACGTCCTTTGCACAACCCATTCCGATTTCTTTCGTTTCCCTCCATACCAACTGAGTGAAGGCATCCGTCTGTGGTGTGACATTAGGGTACGAATAGCTATAATTTCCTGATTCGCTATACCAGACATCCGTTGCCACGGATCCTGCATCATTGAACGGAACTCCGGTTATTTTAGCGACATTCTCGCCGTATCCCAGACTCACGGCCACGTCTGATTTCTCAACAGTCCCTCTCATGGCCATTTCGTATGCCATTTTCTCTGCCTGAGTGGTAAGCTCATCAGACCAGCGCAGATGTGACGAGTGATGTAATTCGCGATAATGGTTATGCTCTTGGAGGCCTTTTTCCGCAAAGATTTCGAGATCTGAGTAAAAAATAGTGAAATACATACACTGTCACAAAAATGTTTAATGAAATCAACATTAACTGTACACAATTTGATATAACATTCGAAGGATTTGAACTTTCCCCCTCTTGTTTAGCTTACTCAGCGTTTTACTTCGAGTTGTGGAAATAAAGGTTCTAAAGAGTACTTAAGCTTTTTATGCTGAGCAGAACTTACCTTCCTTTATATGTTTTACCATGCTTGACTCTTGCTTATCCCTTGCTGTCCCAAGCTCTGTGTCGGACTCAAATACTACATTGTCCGTTGGACCAATCCGTTTAGTTGGGGAGACTGGTTTTGAAATAGACTCGGACGCCGCCAATTCAAGATCTCTTAAAGGATCAAACAGGGCGTTTCCTTTGAAGGGAAAATCATTTTGTCCTGTAGCTCTTGTCAATTCGGATAGCTCTCCAATACTCGGTTGTCTCTTGACCTGAAGATCTTCCAGAACTGGCCGTTTTTGGTATTGAAGGTTATTTAAAGATGTTGGGTTACTGCTTAAACCTCGAACACTACCTGTGTTTGTCCTTTCGGGAATCTTTGCAGGCTCATCGGTTGCTATAGAGGCTACGCGTTGCTGCCTTATCCCCGAAGGCTGATCGCTTACGATGGAAGGTACCTCAGAAGGATGTCCTATAAATTGCTTTCCCTGTAATGATTTGATACTTGATTGCACCGCCTGTAGCAGCTTCTTCACAGCTTCTGCAAATGCAGCGGTGGTCTGTGGGTTAAGATTCTGAGCAGGTTTTGCCTTCACACGAAGGATGCTAGTTTGTTTCTCATTACTTCCTTTTAAAGAGGGTAAAATCCTTACTGTGTATCCCACTCTGCTAGTTGGCTTAACCTTTATTTCACTATTCTCTCCGCTTAATGAGTTGTCTCCTGTGTCTTTACCTGGATTTTCCGAAGATAGAAGATCAGCTTTGTTAAGTTTCCCTATGGTGTCCACAATTCCTTTTAGAGATTTCCCTTCGTTGCTTGGCTTTTCGTCTTGAAGCTCATCGCTCATGTCTTGCGGAAGGGTCTCTTCGTCTCCAGATTTTGGTATTTTCAAAAGAACCCACGATTTCCGGTCGCCTTGGACGTCAACGGTTTTTTTCCAAGGCCAGAATTTGGTAGGAATCCTTCGGTAATGCATTTCGTTGAATAGTTTGTGCTGATTATGAATTTTCTGCAAATATTTTTTTAGTTCTCGCTTGGCCATAGATCTTATGAGATCACTGACAGCTTTAGCAAGGGCAAACGTAAAGGAATTTCGGTGATACTTCTTCCTTACTGTTTCCTTTCCATTAGCAAATTCATTCATTTGTGCTGCAAGCCTTGCATGTGTAAGAACTGTTTTGGCGACTGGTGACTCCGTTTTTGCCGTTGATGTATAGCGGAATGAAGGTTTATAAGTAGGTTTTACGACAAGGGGAGCCTTGTGTCCAAACAAAAGCTTTAATATTGAGATTCCTAGTTCCGTTGGGTTAATAAGCTCAGTATGTATTGTAGATTTTCGTTCACCCCTAGGACTCTCTTTAGATACGGTGGCGTTCAAAAGACGTAGTACGTTAGATATCGCTCCAAGCGAAGTGGGTTCATTGTGAGGATCAGAAGTATCATTTGTTTCGTCCTTACTGGCATCGTCACTGAGCACTTTGGCAAGAGTTAAAGCGTTGATATCCTTCTGAAAATGATTCTTTTCGTCCAGTAAAAGGCTAATTGCGGTAAGAAGAGTCCTCGATAAAGGCGCACCATCTTCAGGTAATGATGGACCTCTTAAGTTGGATGGAAATGAAATAGAAGTTCTTTTCTGTGACTTTGTATTTTTTATCGGGGATCCAGATTTTGAAGCCCTTTTATTTCCCAAAGTTTTTCCTTCGTGATGCACCTTCACTGGGATTCTGACTTTTTTGTTCTTTTTGCTCGCTTTAGATCTCGTCACTGCTTCGCCAATGTCTGAAGACAAAGCCAACTCTTTAACTAGCCATTCATTTTTGGCTATTTCTTTTTTCTTTATAGCTTGAAGAAAAGCATTTTTATGCAAATTATTTCTTGCAGGGTGCACTTTTCCTGCTGTGCCCCGTCCAATGTAAATCGTGCTATTTTCGTGGTTGAAATCAAGATGTCCTCCGGTATTAGTACGTTTTGACCCTGAAAAGAAAGAGCAAGTGACCTCTTTTAATGTCGCATTTGATACTTTTGTTTCTTTTTCTTTCAACTTACACTGCGAAAACGATCAACGTCACGATTCTTTCACAAGGTTAAAAGCCTGCTTTATACTGGGATCATTTGCAAAATATTGATTGTTCAACTTTTGTTAGAAACTACGATACTACCAAAAAGTATAAAACTATAAATGACAAAGACCAGAAGTTGCCCCAGGGAAGAACCGTCGGGTAACCATGCGGGACTGCCCTTGCAACGTGCCGCTAAGTGGCAAACACCGAATTTGGATTGGATGCATAGGATATGTTAAACTGCAGTAAAAACCGAAGCAATGCATTTCTGTGCAAGCTGAAAGACATTGACGTCGCACGGAGTTGTCAAGGATCCATAACACCCAGAGATTCTTACCTAATAGTAAGTCAGTAAGCGCCAAGGTTATGACAAGCACCAGGGCCACTGCTTTCACAGTCATTTGTTCATCTAAGAACTGCAAAAAAAAAGCGAACGGAGATTATTTGTCGTGTTTGACGACATAGGGTCTCGGCTTTATACGATGGTGCAAAGATCGTTGGGATGTTGTACACAGGTAGGTGTGGATCAAAATATCACTAAATGAGCCCCTCACAGGAAAAATAAGTGTCTTTCTCAAAATCTTTTCTGTCTGTTTCATATTGCTCAACCAAAAGATCACCAATATTTTCAATGTATAAGTTAGGTTATCGTTAGAAAGAATGAAAAGACATCAATGCCTTCCCAGCTAGTGATAAAAATTCTACTCTTTTCCTAGTGTTTTTTTTCATTAGGCCAAGCCTTTTAAAAAAGTACAGCAGACCTTCTGTTTCTGTTATTAGATATTGAATACTCAGTTTTTATTATGTCCTCTCTGAGAGTCAAACTAACCGCTAGTACAAAGCAGGTAGCCTACCTGTTCTCATTCATAATTATTCATGTTCGTCACTGTAGCAGCTTTCTTCCAGACAAAGACAGAAGTACAGGAAAATCCACGGAATTGAAACTGACGTTTTAGGAGTACTTTTTGATTGGTTTCAAGTTTATCCAATTCAGCCCACAGATAACCTTGGTCGATTCACCATAGATTGGCAGCCAAAAATAAATATTGACACACTTCCTTTGCCAAGGAGATAATGAAATCATGTGATTGGTCTCTTGACGAATACTGGTGACTGCTTTGTTTTGACGATCTCTGTTAGCTGCTTAATGATGAGTAAAGTAACCTGCCATCCAACGTAACGCTTCGTGGAGTTAATATCGCTAAATGCATATAGAGGGTTTTACTAAATAACAGAATAAAATAAAACGAATTTCCTTGATTTTGTTACCCTCGCAGTTATCTTAGCACAAAGTCTTGTGGCAAACATCCAAAACAAGTACATTCAAATGATACAGAAGATGGTTGATTGCAAGCCCGGCGGATAGCCACTGGGCCAGGCTGCTTCCCTACTCATTAACTTGCAAGGGTAGAGGATACCAAGACAAAGATAAAAAAATGAAACAGAGCAGAAGGAGACAAAACTGAACTAAACAAACTAAACAAACAAACAAAGAAAAAAGGGAAAAACACTAGGTTTTTCCAAAAAGGCAGACAACGAGGACGCGGGCTTCTATTGAGTCTGGGGAAATTCAGTTCACTCCCCAAAGGGGGATTTACACTGTCAAAAACTGTACGTTACTGTTTGCCATATTCAATCACCGTCTGGAAAATCAGAGGGCAAACAGTAACGCAAGATAAGGAAAGGAGTGTTTTAATTGATGGTTTTATGAGAAGCGGTCGAAGCTCAAGTTCTTAAGAACTCAGTGCATCCTACATCACTCTTCAGTCAGCTCAGATTCTCAAAACTTGAAAAGAAAACAGCATTGACTTTTCTCTCCTATTTTCTTTATTTCTGTTACTTCACATTTTTTTAACAATAGACATAATATGCAGCTTTGTTATTCTGCATGATTGTAGATTTAAACGGTATGCAAGAGCATAGAACTTCATTAAAAACTTCGGCGTTTTTAGGGTATAGAGCAGCCTTGGGTCACCTAATCCAAAAGAAAATTAATCATATCTTTTGCCTGGTTATAAAAGGAGCTATTGATACAACGAACAATGATTGTCTTCTTAATAAGTAAATACTTTTTAAGGCTTATAATTGGAATTAAATCACAATTCCCTGAATTTTTTAAGCAAGGCTTTGTTCTAAAACGACTATTATTTGACACTACAACTAACAGTAGAACCTCGGATAACTCGAACTGTGTCTCTTTTCTCTCGGATTTCACCCCCACTTTTCACTCGTTTAAGGTGGCTTAACACAGTTTTGCGGGCGATCAGCGGTAACTCGCGTGACGGCGTGTGTTTTAAATTAGACAAACAAACATGGCGGCGAAAAAAGCAATGGTACACAGAAGACAATTCTCAAAGTATAATCATTAAAATTTTTTATTTGGCGTATTTTAAACAATGAGAACTTTAAAATGGAAGTTGAAAAGACTAATTACAGAACAATAATATTATTGATTATCTAAAAACCCGTCTGTTAAAACTTATTCAAACAAGTTTCAAAGGGTAATGATTAATTACAGTAAGCTGTGTGCAAGTTTATAGGAAAATCTAATGAGCGAATTTTATATAAACTGAGCAAAAGTGAAATTTTAAGGTTGTATTCAATCGTTCATGTTGCCATGGAAACTACGAAAACGGCACCTTTTACCTGCCAATCAAAATCTTTTATCAGTATATTTTTTACTTGCCAAGTTTCAGCTGCTTGTAAGATGCAACTTTTCTCGTGCCATAATTTGGCAATTGACATATAATCTCAAACTGCCAAAACTGTGTTAAGCCACCTTAACTCGAACTCGGATAACTCGAACTCCTCGCTAACTCGAATTAAATTCCCTTCCCCTTGATCAAATTCAGTCCCTCGATCAAATTCTTGTAATTCCACCTGGATGCCATTCCATTAGGTTTTCTTGTTGTATAATCAGAAAAACGCTAAAACTACCACTACGGAAATTTGATTTTAATTGGTGCAACGAATAGATCACGTTTTATCATAAAATGCTGAAAAAACATTAACTGTCAATTATGAAGATGGCAAATTGAATATTCAATCTACCCCGACAACTCGAACGCCTGCTAACTCGAACTGTTTTTTGTTTCCCTTCAGAGTTTCAGTTATTGGGGTTCTACTGTACTTAGTTAATTGGTAAATTTAGCTAAATTTGACCTCAATTACAGATACCATCTCATAGGAGTAAAAATTCCTTGCACAAATATGCAGTTTAACTTTAACTATTTTGCATGCTTAACAACTATTTTTTGATGCTCACTGATTTCCATTGCGGATGTCATTTCATTGTAGCAAAACTATTTTGTGATAAAATGCATTTAAAATACAACTATATTATTCTTTGCTTCCTCGCTTCCCCTCAGACCAGCCTTCTTAGTTGGTGCGTACTTAAAGTCAGTTGCTATGAGGTTGAAGTTCTGTTCAAACAAATCAAAATTGTAGTTTCATTAGACTTGAAAACAGAGGGTCGGTCATTTAAAAGAAGTCTAACCTAAGCTGCAGTTTAAGAAATATCTCTTCTTTAGTGGGTTATTTTTAAGTATCTTTTCGAATCTTTGCAGTCTACGCTATATTCTTTCATGGAACGGTTTGATAAAAGCGTTGGACATACTAAAATTGATTAATTGGTTAAAATTTGTTTAAATAACCGACCCAGAGAGTTGCTAACTGCTCATTTGGATAAGCACGTGAGAGCAAGAAGTTTGATCATTCAGCCTTCTATACTCATTCGACGCAAACGTAAGAACAAGCAACAAACATAAACGTAGTAGCAGCTAGTAGCGGTGGTAGAAATAGCATGCAAGGTTCTATTAAATATCGCTGCGAAGGCATGTATGAAGGTAAAGCATGTTATCTCTTAGTAACCTATTTTGCAAAACCGAAAAACGTTCTTTACCTGTCCACGTGTTACTTCCGGGTTTACCAGTTGTACACCGTCTACAACTGGCAAAGGAAAACCTTTCTCACCGATTTCTAAGAAAAAAAATGAATATGATTGTTAGGTATCAATGACACAGTCAAAGTAAACTAGTGCACCAAAGATCTTATTTGGCGGGGCAAGCTCTTTGACAGATAAAAACACCACGCACAAGTAAAACCGTTGAATATTCTTCAACCCCTTTTTTGTGACTCAGCGAGCGTGGAGAAAGCATATAGGTATCGGCAATTTTGCTAAAGAAGGTCTGTAGTCAAGAGTGCAGATACCACAGGTGCCTTACAATATTGTCTTTCGATCTGGATTTATTGACACAAGTTGCCTCTTACGAGGTTGTAATAAGTATTCATAAAGTGATTATAAATATCATAAAAAAAAACAGAAAATTAAGGTTCCCATAGAACTTCCTCATCAATAGCCCACGTTCGATATATTAAAATTTAACATGACTCCGAGGCCTCACGGTCGAAATTGCAAATTGTTTACGACTTCATTGTGTCGTAATTCTCAGAAGAGACTTAAGCAAAAAGAAAATTAAACAAAATATAGGAAAATGACCATAAAATCTCGGAGTCATGCCATAATTCTAATACATCGAACGTGGGCTATAGAGACAGCTTTATTTTTCTTTTATGTTTGTGCTTTTTTAGCCCTACTGTCTCGAATATATCAGCAGAATTCAAAAGTAGTTTTCGTTTAAGACGAGGCAGTGAAGGTGATTTGGCATGAATGGGCGTATGTACAAACGGTGCCATTAACGAGCAAAGTTGAACAAAACCAGAGGGGAATATTGGCGTTTTACCATTTAACTGTTTTAGGATGATTGTGTCCGCAAACACATCCAAGGCAATCTGCAGCAACTTCACGTCGATCTGCGTAATGAGACATTGAGCTACTCAGTCAACAACTTTACACAACAGCGATCTTACAAGCTAGATGCAAAACTTGGCCTGCCTTCAGTGAAGTTCACTGACACTTACCTCAGTGAGGTAATGTCATGGCATCACCAACAATGAACATGCTTACCGAACCAGAATTATAAGTATTAGTTGATGGTGACCGCTTTGATCTCAATGTTCACTGGATACACTGGTTAATAAATAGCAGAATTGTCTTCATTTTTTTGGTTATGTATCGAGTACCCGTATTAAGCTGTCGTTACTCAGAATACTCCAGTGAATAAACTTGTTGTTTACTCGTCGCTATGCATCTTGCCTATCGTTTATGTTAAGTTATAGTCCATTTTTGTACCGATGCACACTGCCCATCACCCATTTTACGTCTACATTTTCACCATTTGCTGGTAAAAGCAACAGTACTGCGACTGTTTTAGAGGAATGTCTCGGAGTTATTTGGATGGTGTGATATGAAGAAATGTTAGTACTATACCGAGATATCGCCGATATTTGAATTAACCAGGTGAACGTTTATCCTGAAAGAGACAAAAAATAATGTTACCATCTTAACCTTTTCACTGCGAGAGGTGAATTCTCCCGAAGCGCATGTTTTTCTTCTTGGAGGAAGTTGATTACGAGACCAACTATTACAAAATGCTAATTTGTAACAAATATCTACGACCGCAAATGATGTTTTGACCGTTGCATCTTGAGTGTCAGTTTTCATCTGATTTCTTGGTACATGAAAGCCAAACCCAGACCCCGAGGAACTGAATGTCCCACCAGTAACTAAAAATGATAACTACCCAATCGTGCGGGAAGAGAGCGAAGCAGCTGCGAAATCGCTTAAGAAGGGAAAATCTGTAGGTTTAGACAATATCCCCGAGGGAGATGGTCTAGGCAAGAGGAAATGCCGTGATAAGCGCCTTACATAAAATCTTCAAAAGCAGACAGAAGAATGGACTATACCATGGACCCAGTCTCTGATCATTACCCTTTCCACAGAACTATCGTACAATCAGCCTGATTGGCCATCCAAGTAAAGCCATGCTGAAGGTGCTATTAAACAGGCTGAAGCACAAGCCAGAAACAATCATTACAGAAGAACAAGCAGGCTTCAGACCAGGACGCAGCACAACAGAACAGATCTTAAATTTAAGGATACTGTGTGATACCTCCAACATCAACAAGACCTCTAACACGTCTTTATTGATTTCAAAGGGAAGTTTGATAGAGCATGACATAAAGCTCTTTGGTCACCATGAGGCTTTATAACATTGATGGCAACCTGATCCAAGTCATTGAGAAACTCTACAACAAGGCCACCGGTGCAGTCAACCTTAATGGTAGTATAGGAGACTGGTTCAAAAGCACATTCGGAGTCAGACAAGGCTGTCTCCTCTCACTCCACTGTTTTCAACATCCTTCTTGAGAGAATTAAGAATGACGCACTAGAAAATCACAAAGGAAGAGTCAGCATTGGTGACAGAACAATCACCAACTTACGTTTTGCCGATGACATTGATGGCTTGAAAGGAAAAGAAAAGGAACTTGCCGCTCTTGTAGATCACCAGGATAAGACCTCTTCAGCCTTTAGCATGGAAATTAGTGCAGAGAAATCCAAACTGATGACCAACAACACAGATGGCATCAGCATTGACATCAGGGTCAACGGCGAAAAATTGAACGAGGTTAACAGTTTTAAATGTATGGGCGCAGTCGTCATAAACCAAGGTTCCATGCCTGAATTACTGTCCAGAACTGCACAAACAACAGCAACACTAGCGAGACTGAAAACCATCTCATAACGATAAGAATGTCTCTCTTAGCTCACAGATTAGACTTACGCGCTCCCGGTTTGTCTCAGTCCTGTTGTACACCTTCGAAACTTGGACATTGACAGTGGACATCCTGAAGAAATTGTAGGCCATTAGGAAACTGCTTGGCATCTCATACAAAGACCTCGTCACCAACGACGCAGTCAGAGGCAGTATCAGGCAAGCCATCGGGCCTTGTAATGACATCTTAACCACGGTAAAGAAATGGAAATTGAAGTGGTTCAGTGGGCATGTATCAAGATCAGCACTGCTTGCTACGACAATTTTACAAGGAACAGTGCAAGGAGTGAGAAGAAGAGGTCAACAAAAGAAGGGTTGGGAGAATAACACCTCATCAATGACTGGCCAGGGTTAAAGTTTTCCCACGCTCTAAGATTATCTGAAAAAAAAAAAGATTACATGGAGGGAAAGGGTTGCTAGGTCCGTGGCGCCCCCATGATGACTACAGGATAAGTGCAAAGATAGGTGAAAGCCGAAACAAGTGACTTTTAGAGACGACAGAGCACTGGGTTCAAATTTACTCCAACCAAAAGGAGATTAACTCATCTCAGCTTCCAATATTAGAACCAGTGTTGAAACCCAAGCTACACAATTTACTCCACTTCTCTCCCCACTAGTGAGTTAGAGATTATTTCTCGCATTTTCATTCCGGAAAATGGTTCATCGAGAGTTTTTTTAACAGAATCAAACGTTTCCTTGGGACACTTCAACAATTTTTAAGTGGGTGGGAAAATGTTTCTACGTACTTGATCGAATCCACTTGTCCTGTAACATTATTGCCTTTCACAGCAATTTTTACCAGAGTAGAAATGTTCTGAGAAGAAACAGATTATGAATATCAATTCAAAGGCAGCTACATTAAGTTAACTTCGCCTGATCACTTGTCAGACGACTAAGACATCTGTTAAATACTCGTCCGTTAACGTGTTTAAACTAGACTTCCCCAACGTAAGAGCTAAAAGATTTCTTTATTGCAACGAAACAGCTCAACTCTCTTACCGCTCCCATAGTGAAGGTATATACAAACGATCCATTTTCCAACTGCACGTAGACATCCACATTGCCGTTGATTTTGAGGCCGACCCCAGCCGAGGATGACGATACTGTAGGACGCTGGGTGGAATAGACTTTCAAATTCATTGGTCGGTTTGGGTACACCTTATAAAGCTAGTGAAGAAGAATAAAATGGACACAAATCGTTTTGTGGAAATGTAAAATTAATATCCTTTCCGTTCCGAAAAATACCGAGTTTCTTTTTCCTCGACTTTCAAAGGGAATCAAATTCTTTTGTAACAGGAACATTTCCTCCACAATATATAGGAATTACAGGTGAGAATTTTTGATCTGCAGTAAGTTAAACGACATTTCCGTTTTATGTATAGCTGTGATGTTGAGATCAATCTCAAGTTATGAATGCTTACCTTGGGTATGATCAATCTAAACGTCTTTGTATTCAAAGGATAGGAGAAGTTTGGAGGCAGCTGCAAAAGGAAACAATTTCATTTAATACTTGGGTTTTCGTTTTAACTGACGGTTCTTTCTTCTACGACGCTTTTAAAACAGTGCATTATATAAAGGTGTATATCATCAAGATGGCAGTTGCATTTTCCTTTTAAATTCTTTTAAAAATGTTGCCACCAAAAAGTCTTAGCCTAACGCCAACCCTCGGGACGACAAGAGGGGGGATTGTCCACGAATAAATGAATGAATTTCTCCACTATTTTAAAAACTACTTCCAACAACACTGCCGCTACATGTAGGTCTTATCAGAGAGTGGCTTCTTATTTACTTCTTCCCCACATTTAACAGAATTTGTTGACAGTAAAACATGACGTCACCAGAGGCAAAAACCATTTACAGCAGTATCGAAAACAGCAAATGTTTAATTGCAACAAATTCAAGATCTTAACAGTTACAGTGTATGATTTTTTTTGGTTTCAACACAATTTCCGTTAACTCTAACTTGCTGACGTCACAGATCTCGAACTGCGTCATATACATGATGTTGATAACCTTACCAAAAGTTACGCATTCAGAGTTAATCTTTCCCTGATACCACTTTACAACACTAATGAGACAAACCCACCATCTATGCACAGCAGGGAGGGTACGAATTTCCTTAAATATATATCCAAGGGTTAACAACTACATGCAGCTACCATAATGGAGAATTCTTTTCGATTCCGAGTTAAACCATAGTATTGTTCAACTTACCATTGACGGAGTAACCGTTTCGTTTAGAATTCCAGCCTCTTGATAAACGAGCCCAGCCGTGTTCACAACGTAGTCTGTCAACCAAATATATGCCATCTTGTCGGATTCCGATTCGGGTGGGAGAGGCGTTGGACTAAAGGGCGCCTCTTTAGGAATGATGGCCGATAAAAACTCCCCCTTTGAAAACAATTCATAGAACATTACACAATAGTACATTTTTTTTTTCCTTTTTGGATCTTGTATTTTGTGTTTAGTATCATGTAATTATGTCTGAAATTTAGTGCGTGCATGCATGTAAATATTTTTAAGTTGTGGAAATTCAGCACTAAGGAGGTCATGAGTTCGTTTTTTTTTTTTTCTTAGAAAACTTTGTCGAGTTGACAAACAGTTGCTGAAAGTCATGCGATGACGCATTTTACGAGCATTTTTCTACCGTCGTGCTTTAAAATTCAGCACACATACAGGGAGAGTTGACCACTCCACTGGGGAGAATTCTAGGGGAATAGAATAGCTGAGCGCAACCTGTTTACTAATATTTTTTTATCTATATTATTTCTTTTAATGTTCTGTTTACGATCAGAAGAAGAGAAACCCTTGAATATCCAGTCAATCTTACTAAATTAGATTTAATATGTCCAGTCTGATATGCCCCCTAAAATTAGCATGTCCGGGTCAAATGATACTCACCTTAATGAAAACGTCGGCATACGATTCAGTGAAGTTGGGACTTGAAACCAACGAGTAGTTTATAACCGCAAATTTGTCGATTTGCTTTTTAACTACGAAAAATAACATCAACTTCATTCAGATATGTTGTCTTCAGGAGCGCCTTTCCGCCCTAATGCCTAATATAAAAATATTTTCTGCTCCCTTTTTTTAATTGTCGAAAATCATTTCGAAAGGATAAAGGAACTTGTAGCAGTTGTTGTCTCTATGATTAAAGACACACTTTGTGTCAATTTATTGTGAGCAACACTAACATTAAGGAGATTTAGGCTCATTTTTACGGCAAATCGTAAAAGTCAGATTTAGGTTGACAACTTCTCAAATGCCCCAAATAATTCTTATGAATAAACCTGACATCCAACTCCTTATTAATTTTGATGCGATGTAATGAAGTGGAATGAATAGCAAGGGACACTCAATCTCCAGCAAATTTTATTGTCTTTGTTTTTTAATCTGGATAAGAACTTGAAAGGTCCATAACAAAGTAGGCACCAATAATTGTCAAGGAACCAAGCCAGTGTATACTTAAAAACTCTTGATGGTTAATTTTGATGTCATAATGAAAGTATTGGTCGCTAAAAATCGTTAGTGTTGTTTTACATAAACTGGTGCCTCGTTTGGGCTTAACGGACAAGTACCTTAAATTGACTTATGAGAAGGTCCATTAGATTTCCCGTCATGTCATTTAACTTCTAACATGCACTTTCACCGTGTGCAAAGTGTCTGTTCGAGCGTGTTTTTCAAGTGTTTCATAATTTAGACCCACCTGGAAAGGTTGAAAGCGATTTTTCAGCATTGGTGTTTATGAGATCTGATGTTTCTTGACAAAGCTGAGAAAGAAAGGATAGAAATTAGGAAGCTTAAGGCAACAGGGTGTTCTCAAGAGTCTTTGGAGATAGAGAAGCTTAGCCGATCGATCTGGTATGGTTTTAGGAGTAGTGTGTGGCTTACGAAAAGAATACACGACACTTGGAAAGTGGTTAAAGACATGAGTTCGTTCAACTTTGACTTGATTTTTGACTCCGACCTGTAGTTATACCGCAACAGGCCCCGCGATGTTCACCGATCTGGTACACTTGAAATTTTCCTTGTATCTTTCCTTTACGATCGTATATGTTTAAGAATTGATTTTTTTAAAATAATTTATTACCTGAATATTCTGTTTATAATAGAGGTTTTTTCTGTGTTCCACTCGATAACATTTGTTTTGCGGAACACTGACCCGATGCAACGCGAATGAATTTGTTCATTTGCTGATAAGCAATTGAAATTTATGCTCAACTAAGGATAATCTTTATACTCATACGTTGTGTGTTTTTGTCACCGGCAGGGGCTATTTGTAGGTATTTCTGGGTTTATATAAGGCGAACTGAGAGAACAGTAATAAAATGTTTGTTCACAAATTTTGTTTGCCGATCGGTGACTGCTTTGTTAGCGTGGGTACGACCTCGTAAAAATACACGTTGGTAAATGTTTGTTTCAAAGCAGGCAGGGCTGTAAATCTTATTCTTATCGGCTGCAACATATATCTGAGGAGTAGCAAAGAATAAACCTGAATTATGGGGATATATAAAATCAAACCAAATGCCCGGAAATACTCTCGCGTCGCTAACAATGAATTTGAATTTTGTAAATTTACTTGCGTGCATCTAACTCGCTTCCGATTGGTTTAAAAACAATCAGCTACTGTCAGAACTCACACATGCGCATTATCGTGAACCAGTCCCTTTAAGCTTCCTAGGGTCTCATGATGTCTCACTTCTTAAGTGATCGAAATGTACTATTCCTTCTCACCTTATCCTGTAACGTCCGTTTTATTTTACCACCAACGTACTTGTCAAAAAGGTTGTAAAGCCAACTGGACACAAGCAAAAAACAAAAAGATCAGGTCATTTTTCCTAGCGCAAGGCCGAGAGGTAACGACAAACCAGACAAAGAGTGTTGCCAGCACTAGGGTATGCAAGCAGAGAAAAGCGGGGGTTGGAAGACATCGTCTTGACCATTGGTATATTTGCCTATACAGCGGTTTAAAGTGTCCGCGATGCAAGCTAGTTGAAAGAACACACTCTCCTTCCATGGTCCTCCTGTTCTTCGAAGCAAGGGAAGGCCTTCGCACGGGGACAAAGGTTTAGAAATCGGCCATCCCATTTTAAGAGAGATCAATTAACCAAGGGTATACAAGGAGGAAGACCGGAAGCCTCTTTCAACTTTTCACCAAAAATAAAATAGGCGGGAGTTTGGGGAAATGTTACGAGAGACTTCCGGTCTTCTTTCCTCTAAACCCTTGGTGGATTTTCTCCCATCCCTGAGAGTTGTGTCTAAAGCGAGAAATTGTCATTAATTTGATACTATTATAGCAGCCAATGAAAGCAGTTACACAGCGACATGGTTAAAGACCCATTAATGTAAACGACAAAGAAGAAACAGAAAGGGACTAGTCGTTCCCTAGAAGATTCTGCAGCTGCCTGACAGATGTTGTGCTGACTGCATGTTCGTGATACTAAATCAGTGAAGGGGAATCAGTTTGTTCATTCACCTTGCACCACCATGAAAGTGAATTTTAACGCTTCCTATTGAACTGGAACAGCCAGCAGCAGCAATGTTAGGATGGCCAGTGCTATCAACACCTAATACAAATGCAATAAAAGGATGAAAAATTATGAAAAAGTGGATACCAAAGACATTTGAAACAAGTGAATCGCTAAGTTGTTTCACATACTTATATCATTCAGCTGTGTGACGTAATCGAGAAATAAAAACTGGTATTTATTTTAAAGTTCACTTAAGGTGCAAAGGATGTCTCAACCCCTTTCTGAATTTGATGCAAGTTCTGAAGCAAAATTGTCGTACATGGATTCCGAACTGGCTTTTGCTAATCCTTCCAAATCCGCTTGACGGATTGTGCTCGCAAAAGTAGCGTAGTATATTACAAGCAGTGCTCGTATATTTCTAAAATTATGGCAATAATTATGTTAGTTGTTGTAAATTATGATCCTTTTATCAAAAAAATGCAAAAAAAAGCTACTACTTTTTACCTTAAATTTGGTAAAAACTCCGGCCTTGATAACTATGCAAATTGAATACAGGTAAATGGCAAAAACATTTACTCTATTCATCAAATAGTAACTTTACTAGCGCATAATTCCTTATAAATGGAATCTCTGGGTATCAATGTGTTGCAAAGTATTTGGATTGGACGCCATCTCAGAGTGATCGAGATGCCCATGCGCTGAGTCCTGCGGGTGACTTCCTGTGGGATACAGGCCCCATAAATGTGACAATAAGGAGACAAAAAATGTGATTTTGTCACTTAAATTTGCATGTGACACTGATCTAGAGCTAAAAAAATGGCTGTTTGATCAATCAATTTTGTGCTATAGACCTTGCCAAAAGTACAAATTACGTTGGCAGTGCCTTTTCGCAAAACAGTTGAAAATTATGCTCGAGGGGACGACTTATGCCAAAAATTATGCCGCACAATCTATCAAAGCCTACTTCCAAAGCGCATTTACCCTGCGTTCATTTGTTCATCAATTGTAAGAAGGGGTAAGAAGGAGAAATGGGGCCATAAAGACAATAATAGTTCTAACATTTCCAGTTTGCACCAAATGAACTCACCCAGTTTTGTTTTTAAGGTTACGGTCAGACCATTCACATCTAGATCAAAGCTTCCGCTGTCACTGATATGGGGCCTAGAAAAGAAAAAAAATGGCATGTGTAATCAAATGGTGACGAGTGAAATTATTCCCTAATTTCTCGGGTATACCATTCGATTACCGTAAAGTTCCGATAGTAACGACCCCCCGAAAGTAACGTCAATTTTTTGTGGCCGCTAGTAAATCCCGAAAGTAGCGACCCCCCAGAAAGTAGCGAGACCAAGTTTTTGAAATTGTATACCGTATACCTTTAATTTGTCAATCAATAGTCAAAATTTTAAAATATGTTCGTGCAGTGTCACAAAATGTTCACGATAAGGCACTTTAATTTACAACAAGGGGAAGCTTTATGCCCCCATTCGTCCTTGAAATCAGTTCACTGATGTAGCGATGTAAGAACTACCGTAAACCAGCATAATTTCGTATTAACAACAGGAACGTTTCTTCAAATTGAAATTGAAAACTCGCTATATAGTTTTCGTCCATTAACATGAACGTGTTTGTTCAAATTAAATGAAACTGAGATACCGGTAGGGGGTACAGACTAAATCGCTGCGGTGCGCCATGCAGGACAATCGAAGCAGTTTAGCTTCCCACCTCTGAGTCAGTGAAGAACTCGATCTCGTCTATATCGGCTGATTCACCCCATGTGGTAGTCCGGTAAATCATCGATACCATTGGAAAAAAAGCTCGCGCCAGCTCTATTTGTAAACGATTTTTGTTCCCCGAAAGTAACGAGCCCTCGAAAGTAACGAGCCCCCGAAAGTAGCGAGCCCCAAAGGCTGCTAATTCCGAAAGTAACGAGGGTCGCTACTATGGGAACACTACGGTAGCTATTTCATGATGGAGGACGAATTACGTTCGCAGTCGTGGATTTTTGACATGTTTATCCTGGATTTGTAGTAACGAAAAAGAACTCCACTCTCTCAAAAAAATACCTGTTTATACAATCCTTCTTGATGTGTTCTTTCGTAGCTCGCCTTAATGCCCTGACATCTTCATTCATAACATTTTAAAACTTCGTCGCCATCTTGGCACTGAGACGCAAGGCAGGTTCTCATGGCAATTTTGTAATTTTACTATAATTAACGCTGAAATTTCTTGCCAAAATTAAGGAGTAATTCGTCACTTATGATAAAGGAGCTGTCTAAAACTTTTCTCATTTTCCCTTTTCTCGCTCTCTTATGCTAATAATAATAATAATAATAATAATAATAATAATAATAACAATTAATAATAATAATAATATATATAAAAAATAATAGATATATTCAAAAAGGCCTCGCTAATACTCACAAAGAAACGCCACTTTGTTTCCTTTTTTAGTTTTAATCACGAACAAACAGTTAACTCACGATAACTCGGACCAAAGTCGATTTCCCTTGGATTTCCTTCATAAATTTAGTGTAATTTTACCCTCGAAACTCGAACCTCGCGCTAAATCGAAGTAATTTTTGTTTCGTTTGAAACAATTTCTATGTAATTATACCCTCGATAACTCGAACCCACCGCTTAATTGAAGTAATTTTTGTTTCCTTTGAGACAATTTCAGTATAATTTTACCCTCGATAACTCGAAGCTCCCGCTAAATCGAAGTAACATTTGTTTCGTTTGAGACAATTTCTATATAATTTTACCTTCGATAACTCGAACCATGCTTTAAGCGCATGACAAGTCAGAAAGAAAAAACAGCAGTGCACTGAAGTCCGAAACTTTGAATTTATCAAAGGAACGGCAGCGTCAATTCCTTTATGTCACTCCAGTTCAAATTCAGGGTCCATTCCTGCATATTAATCAAGCTTTGCTGCTTAATTTTTTTCAAAATATCAGTCTATATCTCTTGCTGCCCTAAATGTGTCTGCATGATACTTGCACCGGACCCCGCCTTCCCTTTGCCTATTTCCTTATTTCCGTTCATTTGCTTCGAACTCCTGATAACTAGAACTCAGTCCTGGTAACTCAAACGTTTTTCAATTTCCCTACGAGGTTCGAGTTATCGGGAGTCGACGATATTATTGTAGCTTACTTAATGCATTGTTTCTCTCTTTATAAAAAATAATATTTATGGTGGAAAATAGCTTTGTTTTGCTTCAAAATAGTTTTTAATCGAAATGAATTGTAAATTAGGTTTTGATAGTTTGGTTTTTTGGAAATAAAAAGTTGTTGTTAATGTGCGTTACCAGTGGTCCTTTCTGTAGTGCCAGTTCCCGCTCAAAGAAGCTGAGGCGCCAGAAATCTGGAGCTGAAGACCAATGCCAGCAACTGTCTTGAACGTAGACGAAGGAATTGAAAGAGAGTTAAAGTGTACGCTGCAAGACGAGAAAAAATATTCAGTTATAAACATTCAATATTGAAAACGGAAAAATTGAAAATGGGTTGCTGTAATAGGTAAGAAGTTTTATACAGTGACAAATCATAGGGTACACCGAGGAGAAGGTTATAAACAGGCGCTGTCCTCTCACCCCATGTAAGGGAATCTGGAATCAATGATGTTTTAGCTTGTAAAATCCAGAATCTGGGAAATTTTTGTACTTATGGAATCCAACATTTGGGCTATGGAACCCGGAATACTGCTCAACGAACCCGGAATTACACTAAAGGTTGGAATCAAAGATCCACTGACAAAGAATCCGGAATTCAGTACCTGGAATGCGGAATCCAAGACTGTCTTGGATTCTCTTACATGAGGCTCTTCGCATGGTAGGTAAGGATGGAAACCAAGAAGGAAAGATATGTGCCTTAACAGATATGTTTTCTAGTATTATTTTTGGCTGCCATACCATCCAAAAATATCCAAATCATTTAACAAATATCTTTAAGAACCTCAGAGATCAAACAATCTTGCCAAGATTTATGTCAGAGAGGCTATTCATCCTTGAACTACTTGCATAAAAGTAGTTCAAACACAACAGTGAAATGCCTAAATTTGAAATGAACCTTACCGGTTCTTACTCCAACGACGCCATGTTGAGGCAGATATCGGAGGGTGTTCGGATAGATCAAGTACCGGAAGGCCCGTTGATGAACTCTAAGAACGAATGGAATTATTTCCGCGTTCCGCGCGCGGTAGTCGCACGTGACCACGTAAAATAGAATACACCATATTGGCTTACATGACACTGGAGAACACGCAGACTACTTTAGTGCATCTTGCATGAAAATTTTATTGACTGACGAGGCTCGAAGAGCGAAATACATTTCGAGGTTCTTAAAACTTCTAGAAGACATTTTATTTTTACATTTTACATTTCATATACGTGCGTCTAATATGGTAAAGACGTCTTGTCTTATTTTGCAAGTAGTAGTTGTAGTTCAAGTTATTCGAACACATTCCTAGTCTCGGCATTTACAATTTCTCAAAAACTATATCATCCTTGTTTTTTTAGGACAAAAAAACTGATTGTCTGATTGATTGATTGGAGTCTAGAAGGAAGAGGCCATGTTGCTAGCCATTCGTGAGACACCATTATGGCGGCCGGAAAGTTACACAAGGAGGTGTGGGTACTCTTACAAATTTGGGTCTCATCACGAGTTCGCGAACAACAATTTTGCGTTTCACGAGTCACGAAACAAATGTTTACGTTTTCACGTTTCATGAAAATAGAGGTCGTGCAAAATGCCAAAAACGCTCCTCCCTAAACGTTAGTCCCATTTTGCAAAACAGAGTGCTTCGATTCTATTTTAGCAAGTTAACTAGCGTTTCATGAACCTTCTGAAAAACGCGTATACACGCGACTATAAAATCCCTAAGAAAGCCAGCTATTGGTGGGTCTGAACGCACTGAAGTTTGAAGTTACATCAAAAGACTCGAAAGTGAAGTTAAATCAAGCCACCAGATGCTAGTTAAGGTCTTTTGGCCAAATTAACGATTTATTGTCTTCGATTGATCTTCAATGTACGTGTCAGGAAATAATGGAGGATTTTGGCGGTTCAGGTTTCACGGAGTGCACTTCAATCGCGACTCACATAATAGTTTCTCAGTACATCACGATTAGCGGACTCCAGAAATGCTCTACCACGGCGTAACGAAAATAAGCTTGCCCCCCTCTTTTCCGGGTACTCGTGGTTGCACCACCAACATTCCAATTCGATCTGGACCGGTAGATGAAGAACCACTCTGTGGATGTGCTACCAGTGAATCGTTATTTATCGATTTATTAATTCATTTTTTATTTAACATGTTATAAGGTTTATTTAATTAGGTTTAATGAGTTATGCACCTTGAAAGCGAGTAGGAGACATGACCAACAGGTGTATCAGCATCCCCATTTATATCAGGAACAACAGCTGTCTTCACTTTCTCATTAAGAAGTTGAACAGCCATCGAGTCAACTTTAAAAAAATAATAGAATGCATTAAATACTTTTTGGTACATTAACATCAGCTTGCCTACGAGTAGCCATGCTCTCGGAGGGTTCACGCAGGCCAATCAACAACGCAGTGGATTAGACAATGCAATAACCAATAACACATGCCTTCTCAATGATGCCGACGTATCTTTGTCTGTCGCAAATACTTGGACGTTCGCAAGTTAATCATGGACCCTTAAAACTTGTCTACGATTACGATTATGGAATTCCAAGCCAGTTTTGTGCCGGAAACTCTCGCTCTTTGTTGTCCAGCACTTGAGGAGACGGAAGAGATAAAATATCTGTGACAGGCAATTAGCTGTGCCACAGGAACTTTGTTTGAAAAATTGTATACTCGCGTAATCAAATGAAACTCACAAGAAGTATCACCCCAGGGACAGAGGAACAACAGCAGCAACAATAACAACAAAAATAACAACAACCACCTTGACGACCAATATCATTATCATTATTATTATTAATGATTATGATAATAATAATAGTAATTTATAATAACAATGATGACAATGATAATGATAATAACAAAGGCACTAATTTATACGGTATAAAATTACAGCACTGCTGATTTGGTTGTGTCTGAAGTAAAAGCTACTTATATTGTGTTAGAAATCAAGAAAGCCAGTTATTGATTGTTAAGTTCTAACAAAAAAACTAAAACCAACTAACCTAAACTGCATCTTACTTAGAAATAGATTGGAAGCGATGAGGTAGTTTCTCCGATTTATAATTTTACTGTGTAGTTCAAAGTGGGTGGTCTTTGTAAACCTAATTAATGGTGAATATATGTTTATTGTTTCCGGTCAAGGCAAACAAAAGTGGCTTTTGTGTTCAGGTTTCATTTGCAGACAGAGGAGGTCGTTGGACTGTGAAAAATGCAGCATAGCTCACATGGCAGGCTTTCCAAAGGGAAGGGAAGAGGGAATTCGAGCCCATGAGAAAAATCCCGTATCCCAACACCTGCCACGTAGGCTAAAAGCAGCATTAGAGACGAGGCAATGAAATGCATCAGCCTTTCATTCGTCACGCAACGACTCTTGAGTAGCTTTGAGTGAAGCTAAAAATAGCACTGCGCAGTTGCGTGTGGGTTTACTGAGTCAGTGTTGCGTTTATCTGGAATTACTTTCTTGTCTTTCCAGTGTTTACAGTGCTTATAAAAATATTACACTTGGTCCCAACTCAAGTACAAGCAATTACATGTTGATAATTTCATTTGTTTGCTGCGTGTCGTAAAGTATGAGTATTTTTCAAAACGTGTTCAACAGATTTTAAGAAGAGATCACCTGACTTCACCTCTTTCACACCAAATTTCGATACCTTTAAACAAGAGGGAGAGATTTTGCCGCGGTGATCCACCGAATGAATTAAGCAGTACAGGGAGATTTATACTCTTAAATATTCAAAGAATCTGGAAAACTCCGGCACCAAATGATGAATTTGGGATAAAGAAGCATCTTCCCCATGATGACAGTTTATTTTCCGACTCGTCTTTCCGGAGTGCATCACAGGTATCCCAAATCCACCACGTGAGGCACTCATTTAACATGCAACTTGTCTTGCAACATTGCTTAACGAGTTGAATAGTGATGTTGCGCGTTTTAAATTCACCACCCACATCAAACCTGTCTCGCCACAAAAATCAGGTTGTTAACAGGTTTGAAAGAGGGTGGTAAAATGCACAACATTGCTGTTCAACTCATTTTTTAGTCTTCCTCCCAGTCGTTTTTGTCTCGTCACGCAACGCTCCTCAAAACGGCTGCGAGGGAGTTGCAAAACATTTAGTTGTACTTTTTTGTTGCCCGTGTGGGAAGCGTAAAAATCCGATTTATTGTGCGGAAAGAACTACTATAAACTTGCTAGTGCTATTCATTGTGTGTGCTTTTCAGACAAGACAAAATATAGCTAAGCTTGTTTTTTTTCTTTCTCCATAATAAGCTATATAAGATACAGTGAATTCTTTTTGGAATTTTTACGTTTCCCTCATAACCCTATATATCTACACCTTTTGTATTGTTGCTGCATATGTACGAGTATTTATAGGTAACAAGCGCCCGCACACAGTTAGTGTGGGATACCTGTGAGAGGACAAGTCCCTGCAGGCATTGCAAAACCGAAATGTTGTATCACTTACGCTCGATTACCAGCCGCTGTTCGGGCGGAAATCGAGCCTATTATTTTTCCCACTGTTCCACACATTTATTCGATAGTCAGAAACGAGTAGGGTCAATGATCCTGCATTAAAATAGAAAGCTGTCGCATCAATAAATGACATTCTAAAATAAACAAGTGCTTATACTGAATGAATTTATAAAATGAAAGCGACTCCTCTGAGACTAACAGAGACTAAGTTATCAGTGGTCATCAATGAAGGTCACGTATTGTTTTGTAAACCAGGTGAAGGGGACTTACCATATTGCAGAGCTTTGTCAGTAACACGAAGGCGAATACCAGGATTTATAGCTTGTGCCAAAACCAATGAAATAGCGAGAAGCCCAAGCAATAACGGTATTACCCTGTATTTCATGCTGATAACTAGCAAACGAGAGTTTTAGCGAACCAAGTGAAAGCTGAAACCGAAAAAAGTGGTGTGATCCGTAGTGATGACCCTCTAAGGTTCGCGACCAATGAACACGAAGGGGATCGAAAGTGTCAACAAGACAATACGACAAATTTCATTGGACACTTTATGAATGACGATAAATCAACATTCTTAAACGGATGCTTTACCCTGAGAGATCAGACCTGAAGAAAAGGAGTTGGGAGAAACGTCTTCAGTGGGAAGCTAAAAGAAAACATGAAGAATCTATTGTTCAATTTAGCTTTTGCTTGCTTTATTTCTGCCTGCTTCTCGTCTGAACGCCAAGGATATCCTGGAATTCGCTTCAGAGTGACTAGTAAAGGGCTTCAATACGGTAAGAATTGAAAGAATAAATTTCTACATGCGATAACGGGAAAAAGTAGCACAAAATGGAACGACTCTAGCTAATTCAAAGGATTCCTTACGTTCTGTCCATCAAAAACTCGTTTCTCGGATCCGTCTGCGGAGTGGGACTGGTGAATGATTGTCATTCATATATATGTATAAAAAGTATATCATTTATTATATATATGGTGAGTTAGACAAATCTTTGAATTCCATTATGATCGATGAAATATGTTGCCACTTTTGATATTGTTGCATCTCTGTTATGTCGAGCACCCCCGTGGATCTCACACGTATTGAAATAATAGTCCTTATTCTATGACGGGCTTGACTAAAACAGCGGAAAAATCCTTAATACAAGATCACTATCATTAGCTCGAATTTTTAAATACAATGAATTTAAAGCGTTTGAAACCTTTGTCTTTGATAGTTTCAAAACCACTTATAATATAGTCAGTGTGTATAGCTTGTCAATCAATTGTAAAACATTTCCTCTTAGTAACAAATTGAGTGGCAGGGATGGCTGGATGTTCCTTTTTGTCTATTACACGGTTTCGCTTTGCTGCGAGCTGCTTCGTCGTGCTTAAAAGAATCACTTCCTAGGCATCTAGAACGGGTAGAAAGCCGATAATTCGAGGCTGTAAAAAAGGGGTACAGGCTTGAAAGCCCTCACCACCCCAAGTTTAGTCAAGGCAAAGTTACAGCTAACACGCCCACCCTTTTAAATTAAAGAAGACATCATGGTTGAGTGGTTCGTACTGACAGAGGATCAAAACGCGCAAAATACAGAGCCTGCTTTGAACACCTCATGCAGTTAACGTTTACAGTAAAGTTTTCTAAGAATAATATGGACCCAATGCGATATACCCAATTTCTAAGCTGTGATACACCTCAAAGCGAAAAAGCTCACTGAAAGCTTACCTATGAAACATGCTGTGTTATTTTTTCTAATATTTCGGGCCCTGAAAATTTTACCGTAGATAAATATAGACGGTTTGTTGAAAATCTTTATTAGGTTTCTACGTTTTCCTCCACGTATGTGGAAGCATAGTAGTGCTATTAAATAGGATTGCCTTCGCATTTTGGAGAGGAGCCAGCCATATTGGCAAAAAGAATTAAACTTGGGTGACCGTAAATCCTAGTTTCCCACGCTGCCGGGGTTAACAGGTAAGGCCAATAACAGCGGGTCTTGGCAGCAGCTACCCTGCGGTTTATAGAAAACAATAACTTTTCTAAACAGCAAGATAGCTTTTACATTGTGCCGTGGTTTACTAATTTAAAAGCGGGTGATTTGATCAATTTCTTTCTTCATTCATTGCCTGTCTTCAGACACTTCAAATAGTAATCTTTTAATGGATTTCGAAAATCTTTGCGTCGATCAAGAAGTGGTATTAAAGATAATCACGTTTAGAAATGCGTGTCACAATGCTAAACAGAGAAGGAGAAAAATCAAGGTAAAAGTGAAAAGGATCCTAATTAAGGAATTTTCTGATGATTTCTTGTAGTTTGACACTGGGCGTCTAAAGACGACATCAGACAAACATTAACAAGTTTAAAAAGTCAAATTCCTTATTCCTTACAGTTTCTAATGTTAGGAACTTTTAGCTCTACGGCTGTATGATGAAAGATGTGACAAATCTTTGAAATAATCCGAAAAAACGTCAGAAATGAGTTTCCCGGCTGCTCTTCCAGGTTATGAAACAGATATCAAAAAACGGAACTAAAACGTTTAATCTATCACTGATAATTTTATAATTTGGCATTAAAATGAACCTAGTTTTGAAAGACCAGAAAAAAGGAGCACCCAAAGGCATAGATTAATTGTGGCTTTGAATAGGCCTTTAATGATCTAAGTATTTTTGGATGCCTAATAGCACAATTAAGTGGCAGGAAATGTCTGTTTGAATGTTACCAAATGTGTCAACAATCAATCGTATGACGTCTTGACAGTAGGTCTGTTGCTCCTTAATTATCTTGGTCTTTTGGTTCGCTTCCAATTTACGTTTTTTACTGGTGTACTTGAAAGGCAAATGATAAACAAAGTAAACTGAAAATTGAACCAGTATTAAATAGTTACACTAAAAATGTAAACACAAATTTACAAAAGAAACAAAAGAAAGATTAATGACGTCAACAAAGTACTGTGGAATAAGAAGACATTTTAGTTAAGGGAAACATGCTAAATCATCCAAGTGTCTTGACTTCTACACGCAACGTGTTAATGGTCATAATTCGGTAATGGCTGCGTACAGTCAAAGCTAAGTCTCTTGATATATGACTGCCGTATGTAGGAGTGCTGTCGATGTGGGCCCAATTTTCGCAATTTCGTTTGTGCTCATTTAATTTAACAACTGGTATAAGGTCTCTCATTGAGTCACTTATCCATTTCAAACAAACAAAATATAAAAATTAAAATAAATAGATGATTAAATAAATTAAAAAAGAACAGAACAGATTACAGTTTATTATACATCTAGAATTACATCTTGGCACACTTGTGTTAGCGCTGAAAAGGTTAACGTGGCTCAGACTTACCTACCTCCTACTTGGACACCCATCCGTCCACCCATCCGGATTATTCCTAACATAACAATTCAAGATCATTCTAGTTATAAGAATCCCGAGAATCCGTCTCTATTTTCTTTATTCAAGAGCTCTTTTTGCAATCAACTTAAACAATGTTGGTAAAATAACATTATTTTGTTCCTGGGAGAATCATCTGATTTTTCTTTTTTCAATTCTTGTGGGACGTGTGGAGATACTTCACAAACTGACACAACGACACAATTCCTTTTTAAAACTACCAATAACTTGACCTTTACTTATCTAGAAATGTAACTCTTGGTGGGTTCCTGAAATAAGCATGAGGAGCTATACTTAGTATAACCTGCGATCAGGCGGTTTTTCTTCCTTCTTTTTTTTTTTGGCCGTCGCTCTTCCCCCCAAAAAAGGAACTGCTGATCGCAGATCATACTCAGCATTTCCGTGCTAGTATGTTTGTTAGACCCTCCTTTTGTAAGAGTGTCGGATTTTGGTAACGAAGCTAACTGAAACTTTTCTTTTTTATGGTTTGAGCACGAAAAGTTCTTCGCTACTTATTCTTCAAGTTACCTGTTACAGAAATGATAGAAAACCGTTACGAATGTTACCAGGAAACATAAAAAAGGCCTTTGTGTACTTTTCCATATCGAATTTCTATACCAAAGAAAGATACATGCACGCCCTGGGAAACATCTGGACTCGCGGGAAATGTATTTGCAAAAAGCGAGTGTAGAACCGTTATATAACTTTTAGTCTCAGTTTGGACGCATTCTTGACATGTTTTCTGAGACAATTCCAGCCTCAACGTTTTAATAAGAAAAGGTCCTCAGGAAAACTGGAGTGTATTGACCTAGAGTGAAGTCATATTGGCTGGATATCTGCCAAAGGTTTGCTTCTTTTCGATCATGCAGCTGACAATGAACCTACAATGTAAAGGACGCTTAGCGATAGGGTAATTAGTTTCAGTGTTTCATGTTATTTTTTTGCTTTCTCTTTTACCTTAATTACTAGCTGACGATGTGGGCATCAAAGTGCTGTTTAAAAGGCTGAGGGAGGAAAATCTCAAAGACATCTCTCATTCTTCTAAGAACCTCGAATACGCCCTATCCAAGTAAGTCATCATAGTTTTCATGTTTTTCCTTGTATTATTTTATTATGACACATTTGATATTGTATCAGAGTAGTCCGACTACGAAAATTCTCCCACGTTATCCTTTGACCCTTTCCTCCCACATAAAATGATGGAGGTTTGACTGTGTTGGTTGTAACTTTTGAGTTCGAGTGACCATTCAAATGAAACCTCTTTTGTATCACTTTGACAAGGTACTATTAGTGGTTGTTTTTCTAGTATTCAACAAAGTTTGATGAATTGTGACTTCGAATACTGTTGTAGTGTTAAGCTAAATTAGAGTTTTAAATGCACCCTGACTGCCCCTGAAAATGTCTAAATCAATTTTTGTTTTAGCAATTCTTTCATTGCCCAACGTCTTTGCAACGTTTTCAAGTTTAAGTCCACTATCTTTAACAGTTTTAAATCAAATTTGGTGTGCCATTACAATCATATGACTTTGATCAAGATCAGACGACTAAAGGGGAGGTTTCCGTGGATGGATATTGTCACTAAATCTTAAGAACAAATCTTGTTTGATACTACCGATTTAAGCTGTTTGTAGAAAGTTATAGAGGCCAGATTTACAAAAACATCCTTATCCCGATAAACCTCCTTATAACTATTAAAAGATGATTGGCATCAACAAGGGCCTCGCACTTTAAGACACGCTTCAATTTTGCTTGCGCTTCCCTTGTTAAACTAAGCAAGGCTCTCGTGTTAGGCGTTTGCGTGCGCCATTCTTGTTCAGAATTTCAAGCAATTAAGAGCGTATGAGCAAGATGAATATTGGCTGTGCATACAATATGGTGATAAATGTTAAAGTTTCTGCCATGCTGGCTTGCCAAGAGTGGCGTTACGTAACTGTTGCAAGAAGAAATTACCTTCTGGTAATGAAACTGATAAGTAAAAAATAGATAAATAAAAAAGCTTGACTAACATTTTAAACCCTGGTTTTAAAACGAGTTTTAGCCGCATGATGCGTTTGTTGAATTGGTTTGCCATTTCAAGCGAAATAAGTCACCCGACCTGCTGCCCCTCCCCCATTCCAAACAATTGGGTCAGTCTTGGGTCAAATTGATCAAGGCACAGAGACAACCCTTCGCTTAGGTATGCAAAGCACATAAAGCGGGTGTTTTCAATCAATTAAGTCTGTCTTTAATTCTTTAGCTGTTACAGTTGACAGTTTAAAAGCGCATTGCATTTTAGCGTAGATGCACTGTACAGTACCGCAAATGATCCCCAACCGCAAATGATCCCGAGACCGCAAATGATCCCCAAAATGGACCGCAAATGATCCTCGACCGCAAGTGATCCCCAAAGTCGACCGCAAATGATCCCGAAAGAAAAATAGGAATGGCTTAGACTCGAGTTAGCGGATCGTCGTGGCAATTTTATTATTAATACAAAAAGTAAGATTAAACACTAAATTTCAGTTCTTAACTAAATACGTATATTCATGAATAAAAACTAAATGAAAAAAATCATTCAAGTGTAAAACGAAGTCGGTAGGCAACACAAGACTTTTAGCTCATGCCAAAATGCTGCTTGTTCCAATGAATTTTTTTCTCTGGCGGGTAGATTATACCTGAAGGAAAACGTTTTGACCGAGAAAATGTGATTTTTGCCGCTTATTTCATACTGAGAGGTCATGACACGCATTTTCTGCGGTTATTGTGGTTTGTGGTCTGTATGATTTGCTGGATTTGTCCTTTAATGCAAGAGCATTTCTTTGACCTCTTTTGAAATGCAATGCTTCTCATTCCGGCTAAATAAGGGTTTTAGGTTGTTTAATTTTCTTTAAAGTGCCTCATGGATCCGAACAATTATAAGCGACTTTCTTTAAGTCCGTGAATGTGACGGTTCCTACGATGTTTTGTCACGCGATAACTACCGCTTGCCTCGCTTTTGCGTTCCTCATTACCAGTTTTAGATTCCTGGTAACTGTCTACAGCAAAGGCAAAAAATGGATATACATATAAGCGTCAATATGACTTTTCGCAACATGTTCATGAGCTGTAGGCAAGTTGCTCTTTCAAAATAAACCGAAAACTGTGGACATTGATAAGTTCGGTGGCATTTTGACGTGTGTTTATTTCAAATCATGTCTTGTTTTTTAAAGGGCACTCCCAGGCCTGGGGCACTCATAAGTTACGAACCAATGTCCTGCTGTTTATCACGTAAAATTAACACTTCAGAGAAAAATCAAAACTAAATATTCTGAAAATTAATTCGACGCGTCTAAAAGGATCAGTAAAGTCAATAAAGCTATTGTTATGTAGAGGGTGCCCGGCTTTGTATTCCTCAGTAGTTCCTCAGTAGACAAGTTGAGCTTGACCGTTAAAATAATAGAGTTTTTTCTGCGTAACGTCCTGCCTGTCTTAAATTTTCAGCGACGAAACAGTTCTTGAAAGAAAATTGAAGCAATTGACAAAGGAAGAAGTATACGGTTGATACCATATCCTTTTCAGATTTATTCTACTTTTTTTGTCGCCTTGTATAAATTGACCTGAGATGTAGCGTCCTCCTTCCCTTTTTCTTTAGAAGGCGAGAGAAAAAGGTTCCTTTTTTTATAATCAGTCCTTTTTTGTAATCAGTCCCATAAAATCCATTCCATTTCTCAAGTTTTCACGGGATCATTTACGGTCAACTTTGGGGATCACTTGCGATCGAGGATCATTTGCGGTCCATTTTGGGGATCATTTGCGGTCTCGGGATCATTTGCGGTTGGGGATCATTCGCGGTACTGTACAGCACCAACCTTTGCCCCCCAGTGAATTCAACATTTTTCATTCTGCCAATGAGCAAAATAACAAAAGACTATTTTTCTGCGTGTTCTAGAAAAATAATGCACTTTTAATCTGTAGTGAATGCAAAAGCAGTTGGTTGTGGCCTCGAAAGTGCATTTCATTTTGAACGAAAAAATCGTCAATAATCTTACAGGAAAATTTTACCGCAACAACTTTATTCAGGAGCTTTCAACATCGATAACAACGCTTGTGGTCCGCGGGTAGCGCGGGGGCGCTTCGAGGCGATACGCCCAAGACCGCCATCACTTTAATCGTCAGCATAAAAACAATAATACAATACTAGAAGCAATCTAGATTGTATTTTCAACTTACTTGACTTTGGTGGGTCATAACTTGTATCTAAAAAAAGTAAAGCGCGCGATCTGATTGGTCAATAACCCATGTTATGACCCATTTGGTCATAAGTGAATACTGACGAAAGCTGTTGCGAGCTCAAAGCTGAACGCATCCCTTTAAGGGCATAATTTCGCTCGTCGCCATTTGATTACACATATTAATATTAAGAGAAAGTTCCCAAAAGGGTTAAACAGATCTTAAAAAAGGTTTTACAATCAAAATTGAGACGGAGAACTAATTATTCAGCGAAAAGATTTTTTTGAAAGATAATATTTTTTTGCAAAGAATGAATTTTGGACGCCATAGCGCTCGCAAATGACATTTCCCTGCTATCTCTGAGCAAAATCAAGATTGCTAAGCACTCAAGAAGTTAGATTTGCATTCTGCTACGCCTCGAGCAACTCTTACGCTTCTCTCGTGCTTAGCAATCTCCCGCATGCATCCGTAACTTGATGGCTGCAAGCTGCACGTTTATCATTTCTTAAAGGGACTCACCAATGCCAAGGTTTTTAACTTTTGAAGTGTGGATGTTTGCATAACTAATACAACATAAAACTTGAATATGTAAAACTACTAATAGCCATGCATATACATACAAAAAAACAAGCCAGCAAAAAAATAAAATTAAGTTAAAAATAATACTTAAAAACTCTTATTCTAAAAGCTGTCGGATGGGGAAATATCAAAATAAAATGTAGCAATATAACGAGACGACGACACTTCGTCAATTCCGATAGAATTCCGATAAAAATGGTGATAGATCAAGTCATAGCGGGTACACAGAGTATACGAAGCACAGTAATTTAAGTCTCATAGATCGCCCATAGTATTGTATTATGAAAACAATGCTTTGTTAGGTTCAATCGTGCATTTACAGGGTAGGAAATCATAGTGAACAGGGCGCTTTCCATTCGGCTCAAAATTCCGGAAATGTTTGTTAGGAATCAAATATAACGGACCATTTCGGTACCGTTCGACCGAAATATTTGGGACCTGGCCTTTGAAGGTGGTTCATGCACTTTGACCGAAATGTCCCTCACCATTTGACAACAATTGTTGCCCCCTGTACCTCTCCTCTATATCCTGTTTACGAGTACAATAACCAAACACGCGGTGGCTTGGGTCGGGTCTGTTCAACCGGAATGTACCTTTCCGTTGGGAATTTCCGAAATTTCAATACAAATTTTTTGTTGAACGTAAAGCCCCCAAAATCTCTGCATTCCACATCAATACCTCATCCAGGAGCCAATACCTCAGTCGAGAGTTTATTTGCATGCCAATGGCTGGTTTGCAGCAGCTATTTTATCAAATGCTTCATGTTTTTAGCATCAAGAATAATCGTGCCACCATAAGTTCGTCTTCGTTTACAACGGCTCCCAGAGAGGGACTCACACTGAGGGCTAATGGGATCAGCCTGGACTTCTCTGGAAACCTGCGTTTTAAAAAGAAAATTGGCTGGTATGTTTCTTAATAGTAATTTATAGATACCAATTGAAACATATCCTCTTGTTACGCATTGAATAAGAAAGTGACAGTTTTTTTTAGTTGATAACGTAAAGCCTTACGTTTTTGAAAGCCTCCCTTTTTGTTGCGGAAACTCTCGTTTCCAGCAATAGGATGTGCTTGATGCTCTTTTATTCAGGCGGTTTGAAAAAGTTTTGCACATTTCCGAGCTACACTTGACAGAGTTCTCCTTTGCACAAGGTACGTATATGGTACGTACGTATATGGTATATGAACTCGCTTTCCAAGGAATCATCCGACTAATTTCATTCATTTATTTATTCGTTAATTATTCATTGTGGAGGCGTGTTTGGCCGAGCGGTTAACAACTCGAGCTGCGGATCTAGAGGTCCGGGATTCAAGCCTCGCCCGTCGCGTTGTTTCCTTAGACGTCTTTGTCTCTCTTCACCCGTTGATTAGCATCCCGTTAGACAAGGCAACTTTAAGGAAACAGGGATACAAGCTCCAGCTGTTTGCCTTTCTCTTTCATTAACCCATTCACTTCCTTCCTTCCTTCCTTCCTTCATTCATTCATTCACTATTTACTTATTTACTCATCATTTATTTACTTATTTATTTACTGGAAAAAGAAACCATCAGGCTTTCATACAGGCTTCCCTCGCATATATTTGCCATTTAATACTTGCAGACGTCCTGTACCCGGGAAGCTTTAACATACTGAAAAGCTGTTTGTAGGCCTTGCAGTAATGTATATAGTCTAGTCAAGTTTCAGGGATACTGTCGTGCACTTTGTATTTCGTGTTTTTATACCATCTCCTTTTTCGTACTCTTTTCAAAATTATATTATTATTTTATTTTTCTCTTGTTAGTTCATATATCATCGTCTTCTCAAAGTAAATATCCATCAAGGCTAACTATTTCCTGCAATAACATCACCCGCGCGGCACACTGTAATATTAAACCAAACTCACTTAATGCCTCACTTTATTCTTTATTTTAGGTTTCAGATCAAAGACAGCGTTAGATTTTCGTTCGAAGCACGTGGAATTAATTTTAGACTGACAGTACGAATTGGTAAGTCTGACTAACTAGGATTGAAGGCGTTAAAATTGACTGAGAGAAGGTATACATTATTCGCTATGTTTTTCCATTTCAGGAGTTGACTCTGATGGTCGACCCACCGTATCCGCTCGAGCACGGGACTGTTCCTCGTCGGTTGATTCGGTCCACGTTAAATTCTCAGGAGGGTACAGGTATGCTTTACACTGTGCGGACATTTTTCTGTGGAAAACGGAATCTTGTTTACGTTTACCCAGTTTCCTACGTTTTAACCTCTTTTTGCTTTTTTGCGGCTCAAAATAGTTTGAGAAAAAACAATAAAACAACCTTTTAGTCAGTCATTAAATCAGTGAGTCAATCAGTCAATCATTCAGTCAATCAGTCAAACAATAAATCAATTAATCAATCCATCTGTCATTCATTACTCGTTATCTACGGCTAAGAATTAATCAACATAAAACATAAAATGCTTCTCTCTTGGAAAGAATTTATAATAAATATGCGTACTCTTTGTCGCGTTTTTTTTACGACATGAAAATTTGGAAAGAACTGAGTGACAAGGTTGCAATTATAATTATGAATACTATCCGGAATACGCGACGGTAAAGATGCTGTCTGCAGTTTAGCAGTTTAGCTGCAGTACCAAAGAACTGGATCGCCGTAATTGTTAACTTAGCCTTGGTTATTTTGCACCTCAATTTTTATTCCTGCATAGTCAACAAAAATAAATTTAACCTAAATCGTGTTGTCTTTTCTAGTTGGTTATACAACTTGTTCTCCAGTCAAATAGATAGGAAAGTGAAGGATGAACTTAACAAACTGGTAAGATCTTATGATCTATTAAACAGGAATGAGGAATCACAAAAACTGGGAATGAACAAACGCTTATTCAATGTTATGTCCAAGAGACACTCAAAACTGACAATAATGAAAATACTTACTCAACGAACCTATGCATGTGACAAACATATGGATTGTTCTCTTTGATTGGTATTAGTATTTTTACAGGGTAGGGAAACCGGTAATATTGGTATTTAAAGGGATTTTACTGAAAGGTTTTCGAATTATTATGGCATTTTATAGCTCTATCGCATTCAAATTTCCACTTCACTGATTATGAATGATTAATTTTGTCGCCCACACATTCTGCCCGATGTATTATTTTCCAGTGAGTTAATATGTAGTTTCTAAAGAACTCTGTTTTTTTTTTCTGCCAATAAGATGTGCAAGAAAGCTAGAGAGGCAATAAACAATGACGGAGCCAAATTTATGGCAACTTTTCCAGGTAATATAGCAAAGGTGATCTTGAACTGGGTTACCGTAAATGATCTAATAGAGGATGTTAGCATCAACAACGAGTACGAGTACGAGAACGACTTCAAGCCGTACTCGTACTAGAAGACGTTTTCTCAGCTTTCTATGTTAGCGATGACACCCGACTTTCCCGGGTAAATGCAAATTTACTCTGTGTAGGAAATATCGCGTTCAGTTGCTTTTCCTCGACTTCAAAAGATAAGGAATGTTCAAGATGATAAAGAGAGGCTAGAAACGAAAAGAAACTACATAAAACGATCAGAATTTACCTTTGAAAACCAGCTCTTCCCAGTCGTTCTACCCACCTCGAGTTTTTGGTGAGAACTCGTCGCAGTGCAACTTGACAGGACGACTTGAAAACGTGGAGATGCGCAGAACGGATGCGCAGTACGCAAAATCGCTGATCTCGTTCTAGAACTCGTACTCGTTGTCGATGCTAACATCCTCTAATAGATGCCCCAGTACAGTAATCTTTAGGGAGTTATTATAACTCCAAAAATGGAGTAAAAAGTTTAGGTACTGGATGATCCCTTTTATGGGGTTACTTTAGCCTCTAATTTAACTCCAAATTTGGGGTCGTTTTTACTCTTGAAAAAGAGTTCTTTTAACTCGCAGCCTGGAGTTAAATTAACTTCGAAAATGGGGTTATTTTTACTCCTTACAAGGGTTGTTTTCACTCTTTTTGGAATTAATTTTATTCTGAAAGTGGAGTAACAGCTTTAGGTACAGGATAACTCCTTTTTGGGGGTTATTTTAACTCCTCATGAAAACGAGTCCCTTAGACTCCTTTCTGGAGATAAAATAACTCCCCAAAAAGATAACTCCACTGTAAGGAGTTAATTTAACCCCACTAGTGGAGTTATCATAACTCCTTGAGAATTACTGTGACCTCAAATAAACGCCTCCTGCCTTATAAACGCCGCCCCCCACCCCTGCGCTTTTAAATTTGTGTTACAGACGTCCCTCTAACAAACGCCCCTTATCCAATAGACGCCTCTCATGACGATCGCTCTAAAAATATCTAGGAAATGGCGAAATAGAGCAAAATCATTAAATTTATTCAGCTTCTTGCTTCATTAACAATAGTTGCGCATTTCGTCTCTTACAACATCAATTTCAAAGTAAGCTAGGATTCTGACATAGCAGTTGGGCTTAAAAGAAAGGAAGCGATAAGTATTTAACCTGTGAGAAAACGCGCTCGTGAGTCGAGCACTGCTACTCACGAAATTTTTTAAAGTGTCGAAACGGCGTCGACTCTACTTTATGCCCAAGAAACCACAACAGCTCAGCTGCGAAACTGTTCTTGTCCTCCTGATCCATGGTAAATCTAAATGAAGACAGAATACTTTCTACGATTAGAAAAAGGGATTTTGCAGAAAATTTATAAAATTTTTTGACTGTCGGGCATTTAGTTTTTTTTACTTGTAAGACCCTTCCCGGCTGCTAGGTAATATAGCCACAGCGTTTTTATTATCCCTCTGTGGACATATATAATTACAAAATGTATGCGTCGGCAACAGTTTTAGTAAAACTTTATTATAATCACAAAGCAATTAGGTACAGGTATAGGTAAAGCAAATAGATATTTCCTCTGCCGATAGAAAAATAATCAAGGCGGTGGAAGAATAAAATAATGACTAATTTAAGATATCATACAAACCTAACTTATCACAGTTCTAGCTGTCTGTTCAAGAAATGGAATGGATTAGCAAAAATAATCATGACTTCAATTTTTTCTTAGTCCTTCAAAACGTAAGCAGTATCGCACAGATCGACTATTCTGTCGTTAAAAGGCCAAAATTCACTTCCAGATTCATGGATTTACCTCTGAAGGTAAGTGGTAATTCCTCCTTGGTTTCAGGGTAAACTTCGCCAAAACCTGATGTCAGTTACGCAACAAATTTTCCAACTTACAACCTCATGTGTGTCGCGGGGTGGTACTCAAGGGAAGATCGGGTAGAGATGTGTCACCGAGACCCCAAACCCTTCCTTTACCCTGTTATACACAAGAGATCTTAATTATTTTATCTCCGTGATTCGTTTCGTATTACAAATCGAATCGAGCAATTTTTCAAATTAACATCATGGAATTAGATTTTTTTAGAAAAGACATTGGTACCACAAATGAAGACCGCTCGTCATCAGGCTTTAATTAGCAATTAAGAGTGGTTGTCAGAGAAAACCGGGCAAAAAGTTAAAAATGTCAACCGAAGGGGGTCAACAGAATAAGTTCATACTAACATCATAGATAGGTCTGGTGGAGTAATGGACAAATATAATAAACATAGGCTCTTCACTGCTCTTGTATTACAGATACGAGAATCACTTTATTCGACCCCCTCGGACGCCATTTTTATAAGCAAATTTTCACCATTTTCTGAAACTCACAGAACCCTCAAAATTTAACGAGCGAAGTTTATTTTTCGCATGCGACACAATATATCACAGAACTACTTTCTAAAACCATAAGATTTGTTAAGCAGCCAAGGACAAGACTAAACTTTTCTTATTTTATCTGACCTAAACTCAGTGTCCGCAAACGAGCAAAAAATCGGGCATTTTTGAATTGATCTACAGCGCACAACTAAAACGACAGAACAACTCTGACAGCCAAATTGCAGTCTACTATCATCTATGTAACCAAAACACTAATAATCATTTTGGGCCATTGAAACAGGAAGAAATTAGAAAACTCACATTTGTTATAGTTTCCAAGCTTTTTCTTGCAAACAGGCCGATCCCTTCGTGTTTGTTTTAAGTCCTCTTCGTGAATTTTCGTCCATATTTCGCTGTAAAGTATGTTCAGCAGCTGGAGAAAATATCAAAAAGCTCGAAATACTGCCTAGGTTACTTGTTCAAAGGGCAAAAAGTACTGAACAACAGGATGAAACCAGAAAATAACAAAGCGACGCCATCTTGAAAATTCAGCACTCAGGAGGGACTGGAACTAGTAGCTGCCTTGTCCTCAACGTGATGAATTACCAAATAGGTAAAAAACAAAAACAAACAAACAAACCGGCTTATCAGTTGCCTACTACAGTCCTATTTCTTCTTCAATCACTACTTTCAGTTAAATTTAGCTTTTTTTGTGTTGTGTTGTCGGTCTTTTTTTTTGGGCGGAGTGATAGGGTTTGGGGAAGATGCATGACCAACTGGCATTACTTTATTCAGTCTTCATTTACTCTACATTCTCTTCCTTTTGAGTTATCCAGTATAAGTCTTTCTTTGGAATCTTTATTGTATCATCTATTTTTGCGTCAGTCTACAATCACCGTCCATGTCCGAAGGTCCCCTCATCTCCTGTTCATGATTTCATGATGCACAGTGACAGTTTCATAGTCCGGAAGGCTTCGCCCGAAGGGTACCTCTTTCAAGCATCAGGTGTAACAAAGGGTAGGAAAATCACAAGTTGAATTATTGAATTACCGATTTATTCTCACGAAGCATATATATGAAAAGGGTGCAACTTTTCAATGGAAGATACACGAAATGATTACCTTTTCTCAAAAATAGTATATATAAGGATAAGGGACTGGAACTCGGGGCGAAACCTCTCCGAACAATGCTTTATTGAGTAGCCTCCCACCCCCCTCCCCTTCTCACTAGGGCTTTCCACAAGTTGCTCGGCAACTTTTTTGCAAGGTCTAGTATTTCGAGCAACTTTTTGCGTTTCAAGCAACTTTATACATAATTGCTGAGCAATTTCTCTAACTAGTTTTTTTTCCAATTCTGAGATATCTGAGCCGCTCTTAGTGCTTAAATTAGCCTTGCTTCCATATTGCACAGTGTTTTAGTAGACAATTTATGAATTTCCTATGAAAAAGGAGCCAGATCCTCACCCCTTGGGGGCAGATGATGGGCGCAAGATGCAGCCGGGCTGCTAGGTCAGAGGTTTTTTTGAACAAAAAGGCAAAATGGGGGACTTCCATTCACACTTGACTGACACGAGTGTCTGAGGTGAATTAAGGTCATTCAACAATTTTAATGGCTCATACTAGAATTTTTACAAGATTAATATTAATATTGATGTGTAGTCTTTACTCATACATGGTTTACGGGCTCCTGATGGCGGACAGACTTATCTAGCAACGCTAATTACGTTGCGAAGTAGCACAAAATTACGTTTTTATACTCTACCAGGAGCCATATTTATCTAAATCGGGGTAGTAGACGGTAACTGGATACCTTTTCCAGGGATGGGGGTGACTTCATCGAAATATCAGGGGCACCCAACGAGAAGATAGTTCAAAACCACCTAAACATAGCATTGTTAAACGCATTCTAGTATTTAAACGGAAGATATAGGCATATTTTTATCGCGTAGAAATTTTTCATCTGTTCGGATTTCTTAGCTGAAAGTTTAGTGATTCGAAAATTATAGGGATCAAAACTTACCTTTTCGCAAATTTCAGCCAGAAAAAAGGCTCCCGAAAATTCTAGGTGACTTTTTAAGGGTAAAAATCCGTTAAAAATGGGCAATTATACCATTTTTTTACATGTTCGAAAATCCTAGGAGAGGCAGGCAAGCAAGGAATTTTACAATGAAATGTTCCGAAAATTCTAAATCGCAAATCGTCTTCCGAACAGATATTTTCCGAAAATTGTCGTTGGTTGCCCCTGAAATATATATCATAGCCATTAAATGTGCTAATTTTAGCACAGTTTGTGCCATCTCGTATGATTCGCGCGCGCATTTTTTGCAACAGCGCCGTTGAAAAGATTAACAAACAAAATGGCGTTGGAAATTATCTCCTTAGGAGACGAATAAATTCCATTTCTGTCATCATTGCCTCCTCTGAATTTAAGGCACGACCTTGACAATTTCTCTAAATGTGAGGACTGTTTATGTTAAACAACGTAGTGAGAGTGTTTTTGACAAATCCAGTGACGAAGAGATGTAGGAGATGTCAATTCTTTCACAGCTACACCAGTAAACTAAAACGAACCTAGTGGCTGTAAACGTCCAGGTGTACAACTTCTATCAATGATCAATATGATGGAAAAGGTACCAACTCGAGTTAACACTCAGACCCCTTTTACAAATTTTTGAACGGCCAAAAACTTGCAGGGATCCGCCTTTTCTTTACATGCGACCCGGCGGAACCGTGAAGTTTTTGAGCTGCAAACAGTACCGCAATCTGTAAGAGAATTTGCGCCTTCCCTCTAAACGTGGCGTTTATATTGTGTGGACTGTGCAAAGAGCATTCTGAAAAAGAAGTGAACAGGAAAAACAATGAGGGGAAGGGGTGCGGAGTGAGAGTCGTAAAAACCCCTTTAATTGTACTTTTTAACAAAAGCTCCTTCCGGATCCTTTCGGTATACCGGGTTCTGGTAAACGCTATGAATGGTTTATTTTGACAGCTCTTGTCAACATTCGAAGGTCTATTACCTTATGGAAATGCGAAGTGACAGCGATGGGATCATCAGTTAAAAGGCTTACCTTCAAAAAAGTACTTCGTCCACTGGCTCTCTTGGCCGCTCCGCGGCCTAAAATGCCCGCTCCGCAGAACTGATTCAACTGCATGTACTATGTTTATTTTAATAAACAGTTGGTAATAAAAATTATTACAAATTTTACAGCAAGCAATATCCACTGCCCGCAGTTAGCCCGCACGCTTCGAAACTCGCGAGGTTGTTACATAGCAAGTCTAGCTAGCTCGCATGAGAGCGAAGTTAAGTGATTCATAAAGAGACAAAATAGATCTTTAATATTATCTACATCCACGGGACACCTCTAAATGAGGAGGGAATGAAGCAATGCCAGTTAATCACCAATTAACCTGCGATCAGGCGTTCTTCTAAAGCTAAATTCAACTAAAAGAAGTAATTGAAGAAGAAATAAGACTGGAGTAGGTCGCTGATAAGCTGGTTTGTTTGTTTTTTGTTTTTTATCTTATTGGTAATCAGGCATTGGCTCCTGGTAATAGTTCGTAATAGCCCACGTTCGATAAAGAAAAATTCTAACATGAATCCGAGGCTTTCTGGTTACATTTCTATATTAGGTTTGGTTTTCTATGTGCTCGTGTAAAATTTGCAATTTTTGTCCGTGTTAGATATCGAACGCAGCTACTAGTGCCAGTCCCTCCTGAGTGCGGAATTTTCAAGATGGCGTCGCTTTGTTATTTTCTAGTTTCATCCTATCGTTCAGCACTTTTTACCCTTTGGACAAGTAACCTAGGCAGTATTTCGAGCTTTTTGATATTTTCTCCAGCTGCTGAACATACTTTACAGCGAAATATGGATGAAAATTCACGAAGAGGACTTAAAACAAACACGAAGGAATCGGCCTGTTTGCAAGAAAAAGCTTGGAAACTATAACAAATGTGAGTTTTCTAATTTCTTCCTGTTTCAATGGCCCAAAATGATTATTAGTGTTTTGGTTACATAGATGATAGTAGACTGCAATTTGGCTGTCAGAGTTGTTCTGTCGTTTTAGTTGTGCGCTGTAGATCAATTCAAAAATGCCCGATTTTTTGCTCGTTTGCAGACACTGAGTTTAGGTCAGATAAAATAAGAAAATTTTAGTCTTGTCCGTGGGTGCTTAACAAATCTTATGGTTTTAGAAAGTAGTTCTGTGATGTATTGTGTCGCATGCGAAAAATAAACTTCGCTCGTTAAATTTTGAGGGTTCTGTGAGTTTCAGAAAATGGTGAAAATTTGCTTATAAAAATGGCGTCCGAGGGGGTCGAATAAAGTGATTCTCGTATCTGTAATACAAGAGCAGTGAAGAGCCTATGTTTATTATATTTGTCCATTACTCCACCAGACCTATCTATGATGTTAGTATGAACTTATTCTGTTGACCCCCTTCCGTTGACATTTTTAACATTTTGCCCGGTTTTCTCCGACAACCACTCTTAAAGAATGAGGCTAAGTAGGATATGAAGAATTAAGCAGGTCGAGGAGGGTGATATTGTGGATAACACCCTCCGAGGTGTGAAACGAGTGAAATGTCCGCCTTTTTTTTTCACAACCAAAACAACTCAACCTCGTCCTCAAGTCTTCTCGGTAACGGTGCCTCAACCTGTAGCGGGCTGCATTTTTGACGTCTTTCTTCATTAAACACAAAATTCTTCCAAATTTGGTCATCAGTAACTGGTTATGGTGAATTATGCGTGTGCTTTTAGCCAGTCAGAATTAGGAAAATATTTTGAATGAATAATAAACTCTATTAAAAAGACAACCCTGTGCAACACGCTAAATAGTGGAGTTGTGTACCCCGAGTTTAAGACTCATGCCCTGTTAAGCGGCACATACCCATTTACCCCAAATTAAAGAGTCCCTCTTGGGATGTGTATGAGGCAGGGGATCATGAATTCAGTCTTAGGAGTGACAACTAAAGGATATCCCTCTTTTTGGAGTTCTTCACATGCTGCATGCTTGTTTCCATATAATCTTACTTTAGCCAGCGTTCTTGGTCAGTATGGTGATAACCAGCCCTGTTTGTACGTCCGGGTTCCGTGCAAAACAGGTCTAATAAGCTACATGACATCGCTCTCCTTCTAGTTACCTTGCTGTTTCTGTTTTATTGTTTTGTTATCATTTTGCCATTTACATTAAATATTTATACATAATTTAGAAAGATGCTACAATGAAGCCCATGGAAGCCAATAAGGCTTTTGAAAGGACCACCTTTAAAAATATATGACTTAGTTACTTATTGCAAGTGTTTTACAGCAGAGTTAAACGATTAATGTGAAGTAAAAATAGACATGTTGTGTACCTTAGACAAATCAAGCTTTAGGGAATGGCCCCAAAATACCCTGGCTACAGAAGTCTGTTCTCTAAATACCTACGACTCGCGCTATGTAAGGGAATCTAATATAGTCATGGATTGTGGATTCCGGGTTCCCGATACCGGATTACAGATTCTTTGTCAGTGGAATTTAGATTCCGAATTCCTTGGGCTGTATTCCGTATCCCAAAGCCCAGGGTTTCCGATTCAACAAGTAAAAATTTCTCGGATTCAGGATTTCACGAAAAAATAAATGCTCGTGTTAAATTGTTTTCAACGTCTAATGAATTTTGGTGTCAATATAATTTTTGAATTTCAGGGAGAATTCAAAGCAGTTGGAAATCTTGATTCCAGGTCTCCCTTCGTTCCTGCACCTCTACCTCCTCTTGATGAAGTGGACAGGATGATTTATATATGGCTCACTGACTACTTGTTCAACACAGCCAGTTTTGTTTACCACGAGCAGGGTGCTTTACGAACTATTATCAGGCCGAGTAACGTAAGGAACTTTAACCTTTGATAAGAAGAGGTTCTGTTTTATGCATAATTGCCGATAACAAAAAGGCACATCTGTTGCTTTTTATTGTTATAAACTTGTAATAGTCAGAGGTCACAGAGTGCAACGCTTTCTTTCCATTACTGTGCTTTGCGTAAGTTTCACGTGTCAGATATTCAAAGCACGCGTGATCAGAGTACGGGTGATAGAAGGTCCAAACACACGTGATCAAATAGCGTTTGGTGCTTTTCATTCATTTGTAATGGAAGTACAAACGAATGCTGGCTACATACATGCGACGCATGCGTAATAAGAACATGGAGAATAGGATTGCGGGCTCCTTTTGTCGCCCGCAGATAAATTGTCCACCTGGAGAACACCTTAATACTCATGATGGGAGCAAATCACTTGTCTTTATGTAGGGCGAAGAGGGTAGGATCATTGATAGATCAACCGCTCGAAGCAAAAAGGGGAAGCAGGGGGGGGGGGGGGGTCAATCTCTAGACGAAACAAAGTAACAGACCTCAAGCGATGATTCTCCACTGCGGATACTTGACGTGTTCGTTTACGAATTCCTTGCATGGTCACACTTAATTTATTTAATATAAAATGTGTAGTGATTAAAAACAAGTTGCAAGCGCAGAAAGGTTGTGTGTAGTAAAGTGAAGCTGACAGTTTGCGTTTTTGTTTTTTCTCTTTTATCGTAGGTACCGAATAATAAGAGTCTTTCATTAAACACGAGGACATTTAAGACATTTTTGTATCAGGTTTGTGATATCCTTTTTACAAGGCGTATGTCAGACATCTTTAAGCTTAAGATTTTGGCCCCAAGCTTACATCAGGGCAAAAAAAGAACTCAGACGTTCCGGTTTTTAGTTTAATTCCGGCTACGTATGTACCTTAAGGGTCAAAACAGTTTGCCTATTATCTTCATTTTAAAGGAACATAGTAATAGCATCATATTTCTCATCTAGGGGAGATACCCGGGGACCCTGGGTCCCTTACGTTATTTTCAGACTAAACTGAAGCCCACAGACCCGACAAATTTTATTCTCGAAGCCACCTCCCCCCCTCTCCCCTTGAAAATCTGAATCCACCATTTCTAGACAGTCTACACTTGTCTACCGGTAATTTGTTCTTTCTTGTACATGGGAAATGGAAACGGCTCATCCAAAGGTGCCTGTTTATTCTTTCTTTCTAGCTGTACAATAAGTATCCCAACCGCCCGGTATTTGTCAAAGCGTACACAACCAAGCCTCCGGTTTTTGCATCGAGTCGAAATGGAACCAATGTAACAGTCAATGGAAATGCGGAAATCCATGTCATTGCTAAGAATGGAGCCCCCATATATGCCTTGACAATTGGACTGGTAAGCTCTTTAGCCATCAATCCCTTGAATGGGCAAATGTTTTTATATTAATATAAAGAGGGATCTGTCATATCATCTAACTATCATTTATTACAAGAATGAAGACCGTTTTAATGTCAATGTCAGATATACCAGGAATAAAAAGAAATGTCTTTTTTGGTGGCTTGTAACTCAGAAAAAAATGGATTACCTTCGAATTCAGTCAAAGTTATGGTTGTTGTTGTTGTTTTTTGTTTCCGGCTAATAGGTATTTTTAACAGTAGACTAATTCCTTAGCGATTTGCTTGGGCTGATTGACTAGTTTTTAGCATTAGTAAGAGAACAGAACCATAAATTTTCATTTCTTGTTTTACATATATTTTATAAGTATACGTCTATTTGTTTAGACTGAAATCAAAATTTAAGACTTCAATATTTAATTTTTTTTTTTACAAATATGATTTAGATTTTAAGTTAATTAATGGAGGATTACTGTAGAAGTTCCGTCACCATTCAACTGTTGGAATTTTCGGTTAGTTGCGTTAATTTTCCTTAACGGTTTTGTTTCTTACTTTTGTTCCTGAAAGAGAGCTGTTCTTTCTGGAGCACTGGGTGTAAACCACGGCAACTTAACATTCCACGCAAAGTCTTTCGAGTAGGTGCCATCTTTTTATGTTGACCCTGTACGTCTTATCTGTCTGTTCATAGTCTTTGGTTCTTTCATGTATATAGATTTAGCCAAGGCCAAAAGCGAAGCTCTTGTGGGAACTCAGCTTTTAAGAAATGTCTTTCTCAAGTAAAGTTTTCTGAGCCTTTGATTACTGGAAAACTAACAACTGGTCAGCTAAGAACGTTAAAAGAGACTTCACGTAAATGGGTTGTACACCTGAGCCCGCGATACAGTCATGTGATCAGCTATTTTGACAGCTTTTAATTCGCGCGCGCAGACGATTTTGTCACGCAAATTTGATACTTAGCCAAATTTTCTTATCTATGGTGCTCCGCTGCACGCGCTTCGTTCGCGCGAGAGCTCCGCTAAAAATTGACATGAGCTCTACATAAACAGCTATTTGGAGAAAGGTTGTCGGAAAAAAATGTGGACGAGACGATCCCGAAAGGTAATATGGGATATGATCAATACACTGTTCCTGGGGGCACTGTAGCTGCGAACCTACTTTCGTTGCTTTCCTTTTAGCACTCGCAAATATACATCAATGGCCTCTCGTGCCATTCTTTCAAATTTCTTTGAAGAAGAGTGAACTCAAAACCACCCACAATAACTTTCGGAATTGCAACGTGCACTTTTTCCGACCTTTCTCGAAAAAGCTGTATACCTGAGATCTGGGGCGGGGTGCGAGGTGGCGCTGGGTGGCTTTCTTTCATGGGAGTGCTAGTTTTCGTTAACCAAAACGATCTAAAGAAATCAGATAACCGTTATAAAACATCCTTGTAGGTGCAGAAAAGCACAATCGCCATACTGGCAAAAAAAGCGGGCATTGTCAGAGATCACACGAGGAGCTGTTGTGACGAATCAGAAACGAAGAAGAAGGTCACTAACGTGTCCAAACACGGCCAGCAGGGACACTGGCATTCCTGTTGAAAACATTAATGCAGTCATGATAGACTGCGATCTTTGAAATGACATTTCCAAAAGTCATCTCGGCTGCGGCCGAAAGAGATGAGAAATAAAATTAGTTTTTTCTAAGATAGCCCGCTAGTTATATTAATAGAATAAAAGGAAGATGAAATTAAAACCCAGATAACACCCAATTACTTTTACTTAAATGTTGTGTTGCTGGGTCTAATTCAGTTCCTAATTCTTTCCCTAGCATACAAGTGCACCTTGTTAAATCTGCTATTGGTGACATCCGGGTTCGTATTTCATTCAATTAGTGTGATTTTTTTTTTCATTGATGAAAGAAGCATATGTGAACTTGACGTATCCTCCTTTTCTCCACAGTATAATATTGTCATGCTTCAGATGTTCCTTGATCAGTTTATAAAATCTGCGCACTTTGTGGATCAGTTGAACGGTTAGTTACATCAGTTATAGGAGCTGTGGCACGAAATTCATAAAAATTCAAACAGTGGGAACAGGGGCGGATCTAGGGGGAGGGTTCAACGGGTGCGTATCCCCCCCCCGAGATGACCTTCGGCTTTCTAATACAACTGGTATTCTGCAAGAAGATAAAATCTTTGTGGTTTATTGGTGTTGAAGTAAAAGATGAGACGAGGTTGATATGGTTGATATGTTGAAAGTCTATTCTCAGTATTTTCACATTATGTTATTGCCTAACAACCGCTCAAAACATTAAAAGAAGGGATAAATAACTTAGCCAATGCAAAAGGAGGCACTGGTGGACAAACTTAAAGATTGAAACGGATTGGAATCGTGGTTTTTTAAAACTTGTTGGCCTAACAGTTTTTCAAAGTTTATTTTCATTTTTGTTGTTTGTAACGTTTGATATAAAGCTTTGGAGACATATTTTTTGTTTGACACGAAGCGGTGATTTTGTCACCACGAGATATGATGTCAAAAGTACCAAAATTTAAGCAAAAAAATCATTTTTTGTAAGCAAAACAAACTGTAGAAAGCACCAACTTGAAGATATTTGTACAATTTTAAAATAATTTTAAATTATAGCGAAGGTATATTCAACTTTCAAACGCACCCACATGATGCCAAACCTGTCCTTTTTTCTCGGGTTGTGGGGAGGGGTCCTATAATGGACTATACGGGGAGGCTCCTTCCAAAAGGGATACTTTTTCAGGATTCAGGTATAAGAAAGGGTAGGGACTTCAATAGATGAAGTATATGAAGGGGTAGGGAGGGAAATCTGTCATTTCGGGCCGTGAAAAGGTCCAAAAAGGCTAACAGATGCATTTTATGGCTGTGAAAAGGTGGAGAAAACGTTCTGTTTTTGTTATTTAATCAACAATTAATGAATGAGGCTGAACATCTTATGAAGAATTATGGAGATCGATGAGGGTGTTATCGGCCGAGGCGGATAACACCCTCCAAGATCTCCTTAACTCTTCTTATCATAAGAAAGCCGAATTAAATAATTGTTTTATTACTCATTCAAAATAATTCCTAGTTTAAAAACATAGCTAAAACATACTTTCCTCCATCGATGTTAAGTTCATCTTCGATAGTGCACGTTTAGGGTTGTTCAGCTCCGCAAATATTCTCCAAAAAGTAGATGTCGCCTTTCGAGTTGTCTTCTTGCTGTTCTTGCCATGTTTTTAGCTATTATCTCGCCTAGTTCTTACTCTTGAAACAAGTGAAGTGTACGCCATTTTTTTGTTTTCACAACCAAAACGACTCAACCTCGTCCCCAGTTGTTCTAGGTGAACGGTGCATTAACCTGCTAGAAAGCTGCACTTTTGACGTCATCGGTTCATTAAACGCAAAATTCTTTCAGTTTGGCCATCAGTAGCTGGTTATGGTGAATTATGCGTGTACTTTTAGCCAATCAGAATCGGAGAAATATTTTGAATGGATAATAATCATATTTAAAGACAGTGCATTTACAGCAGTTAAAAGGGATGAGAATTTCTAAACTCACTAGGTATGTGGATGGGATACAATTTGTCAATGGAAGGTATACAAAAGGGGTACCTTTTTTGTCAAAAATGGTATATAGAAGGGTAAGGGGTTGGACCTTGGGGCGGAGCCTCTCCGTATAAACCTTTGTTGAGTACCATCCAAGGGTCCTTTCATTTATTACCGTTGACAATATTCGTGACCCACACGGGCTGTTTAAAGATCATATACACCGTTTCGAGTATTCATCCGCAACTGTCACTCTACTGAATAACGCTGTACACTATGGTACAAGATATACATAGGCGAAGCAGGCCGAACCGAAAACTAGTCGACCGTTTTAGATGTTGAAAGAAATGATAAAGACGCATTCTGACCATGGCCAGCTGTGGCTTGTCACTTTAATCTTACCAATCATTCCAGCCAAAATAGGGTCAATCTGCGGCCAGGAAAAGCCGCTAAAATTTAGGGCAAATATTAATCTTTCAAATCGGAACTCTTAATCAACGACGCTTTTCATTCTTGTTTCTCATGTTTCCATGATCTCATCAATAGCATAGTTCCAAAATTCTATATATAAACCACCGGCGAACGACCCACAAACCCTGGCCTGATTCGCTCTGGGAAAGGGCTAGCGCTCGAAAGGTCAGCTTCTCAATCCCGCTACGGTGGCCAACCTACTTTATCAACTTAATTGCAATTAAATTTTTGCGCCAGGTTATTCACTGAATTTTCAGTGATATCGTAGGTGGAGGCAATTTTGAATGACGTTAACAGGACTACAGCCCGCACGCGGTTAAGTCCTTAAAATTCCGAAGAATTAATGGTAAATTTAATCCTTCCCAAAGATGACTAAAGATAGTTATTTGGTTTGAGCTTTCTTCAGCAATATACATGTACATAAAGTAGCTTGTTTGCATCGTTTATTTTATTTTATTTTTTGCAGAGTATGGAGGTAGGGGCTTCCCGTTACCGCTGCCGCCTCATCTTTCTTGGGAGGACACAAGCCTCACTACCGGAGAGGTAACACCAAGTTTTCTCCTAATCTTTGGTTAATTTCCATATTGCTGTCTGTTTGAATTCAACCAAATCGTTATTAGGGCTGGTTTTGTGTGAAATGACTTTTTGGGACTGTTGGTTGTGGTGAGGGTGGTGGTGGAGGGTTTGAATTTTGACCCATTCACCTGCAAATCATGATGGCCGATAGAGGACGCGATCGAGCGTCCAAACAGTCCCACAAATATGTAACCTATCACCTTACTGTTGTTTAATAGTCCTGTTCTTTTGAGTTAAACGTGTAGACTGTCCTGTTGGACAAGTAACTTTTTATGCCTCCCGTAACTCGCAACCCCAGCTTGCCACCTTTTTTCTTGGCTTCCGCGAGAACGAAGGACATGATCCGGGAATCGTACAACTTCAACATGGCCAGTTAATGAATAGATGATCACGAGTTCTTTTGTAATTAAAAAAAAAATGCCCATGCATTCTAACCTCACATTCAACCACCAATGCGCGATAATGAACAACTGGAGAAGTTCTTACAGATTCACGGAATACAGTCTTTTAGTAATTTAATAATACATGTAAGAACCAAAATCCACAAATTGACCGCATTAGATGCAGACTGAGTTTAACAGAAGTAGCACATTTTTAGAGTGAGATCCGCTTTGCATCATTAAACAGAAGGTACATTTTTCAAAATTTACAGTTGTACTAAAAGAAACGTAACTCTCTCCTTTACTTTCTGTCCAGGGTTTTATCCTTGTCAAGACGAACCTCAGGCACGAGTCAAGACGTTGAAGATAGGAAGCAAAAGTTCAGCTTATATTTTGTTTTAACCTTTTTCTATATTTGTTATAAATTTTCAAAATTTTTTCTGCAAATCCAAACCTACAGTCTCAATAACCTGTCATAGAAGGCGTTTTTTAAACTAACATAACAACTTTTTTAGAGTTCTTTTTTGATCAGTAATATGGCATTGTAATTGTAAGAGAACCACATATGTTTAATTTCCTTTTATCCAATTTTTATTTTGTTAATGATATATGAAATAAATCATATATGAACTGCGGAAATGAAATGAAAATGAAGAAATGATCGTCGCAGTGAACGCAATTTATGCAATTGCGTGAAGAAGACTGAAAAAAATTCAGGACCTCAACGGGGTTTGAACCCGTGACCTCGCGATTACCGGTGCAATGCTCTACCAACTGAGCTATGAAGCCACTGACGTTGGGAGCAGGTCAATTGTGGGTTCATATGTTCCCGTGAAAGAAATGACTCTTAATGATATCATTATTTCATATGTCATCAACGCTCATGACGTATAATTCTAAAAAAAAAAATTCTTACACCGTCATATGCCGGGGAAAAAATTTCCAACTCCAGAGGTTTTGGAAAAAAATTCTTGCCCAATTACATCACCCATACCCCGCCACAAGTCAGTTGGTCAACCCCTTAGGGGGAAGAAAAGGATTTGACACCTTAGTAAATGACATCCATCAACAAAATGGCTTGCGCGCGTTCATCATGTGGTGGTTTTCAAGACCAAAGTTTTGCGTTTCTAGATTGAAAATACATCAATAAAAGTCGCATATGGAAAGAGAAAGTTCAAAAGAATGCTCGATTCCTTTTTGTGGACAAATGAAAGCTTTTCGTTACCAAATTGTCTTTCGAGAAATTCAACCTTGTTTTCTTCACAGCGGAGAGCTTGGCTTGTTTTGAGCCAATCAAGGCAGCGAGGTTTTTGAAGAAACTTGAGGTACATTCTGTACTCTGTGGTCAAGAAAAGTTCGTTTTTAAAAGGCAATTTTCATTGATGTTTTCTACATTTTGACTTCGGCGTGAAAGGAAAACCACAAAATTTGCCCGATTTGAAATTGATTTTATGTTGCATCATGCCATGTGCTCAGCCGATGTGACTTGCGTGAACGTATCCACAGTCCAGTTAGTGTTATGCGAATTGCTTTTAAGGATTAACTCATGGGTTTTTGAAAACAAATTTTCAAGAAATCACTTTAAATCCTCTTTTAAGCTCCCCGTTGGGCTTATTTATTTCAGGCCCATTTGAGGGGGGCTTAATAGAGACAGGGGGCTTATTTAATTCAGACAAGACGATGGTATCAGTTCTCCATAAAGAGCTAGAATACAAAGTGGAAAAGCTCAAGAACAAGAAGGTTGGAGGTCAAGCAGCTGCGGATCAGAATCAAATCCCTACTTCCAGTTGGGGAATAAACCATCCCGGATCAGTCCACACGAAGTTTTACAGTCGTGATTGATTAATACAGTCTATCATTTATTAGGTGAAGAATAATCAGGGGAGGGGGCAGGGGAATTAATAGAGAGGGGGGTTATTAGAGGGAGGGGGCTTATTTGAGAGGGGGGCTTAATAGAAGATTTACGGCAAGTTATTTATATGTCATTGTTCATTCAAAACATTAGCTCAAAACACGTTAGCGAGAATACAGATCGTGAGATTTTTAGAAAAATGCAGTTCAGACATGCTACTCCCCTTTCTTAAATTAAAACTTTTTTTAATGTTTTTTTTTTGATGGTTTCTCTTACATAGTTGGAGAGTGGTAAATACTAAAGTATTGTCCTAGCCTTCTGAGGCTGAAGAACGATCCTCACTACGGGATCCATCGTGGAAACCTGTAGTTTAATTATTCTCTGGAAAATTTTCCGAAATCGCCGGTTTCTGATAACATATACGATTGGATTTACTGAAGAAGCTAAACAAACAGTTAACATTAAAACCTCTTGTAAAATTCCAGGAATATTTACACCAAAAACAACAACAATACCCGCGATAGCGGCTGGAAACCAACATATTCCAAATAAGATAATCACGATGAACAATGTTTTTGCAATGTGGACATCGTCTCCCCCGAATACGCGGTTTTTCGTTCCAAGTCTACCATGGCAGTCTTGGGCGCTCTTTATTTGCTTTCTGTGTCGACTAACTGTGCGATATATCCCAATATAACACCGTATTATGACGATGATATTTGCATATAATGACAGATAAGCCAGAACCCGTGATATCCTGCTGGCGGTTCCAGGTTTTTTATCTAAAGAGCAAACGCCATTGTATTGATTAAAGTAATATCTTCCCAACCCATAGAACGGCCGACTCGATGATACAACAGCGTAGCACCAAATTACCACTAACATGCAGAAAACGTTCCTTCTCGTGTAAACGGTTTGATACCTTGCCCTGTGACGAATCATGATAAAGCGATTGATGCTTATTGCTGTCATGGTCATAAGGGTGGCGTTTAGAACAGTACCAAACAAGAGGCCCTGCAGCTGACAACCACGCATGCCTAGTGTCCACCGGCCCTGGATAAATGTCCCAACAGTGAGCGGTAACACAGTTGTGGAAAACAAAAAGTCAGTCACTGCTAGGTTTACAACAAACACATTGGTCATCGTTCTTAGTGCCTTTTCTTTCCAGACTGCGATGAATATCAGTGCGTTGCCACATGTTCCACATACTATTAAACAGGTTGTTACCAGTATCTCAAGTGCGGCTTCAAGGGAACCTCGCGCTTGAAGCGAAAATTGCGACGCTGTTGAATGATTCATTTCTGGGTCTTCTGAATATGGTCTAAAAATGCAAACAAGAAATAAGTGTCAAAGGAAATAAGAACCAGACTGCGCTCCTTGTTTATGTGCCCCCACCAGTTCTCGGTCCATCACTTTTAACTTGTTCTCTTGCTATGTGAACTCAGGACAAAACTTCAATCAACTCTGTTGGTGTGCCTCGGTGGGCCGAGCAGCGAATATTTCGGGGTATATTTTGACTGAAGCTCGAGACACAATCCCGGGGAAAACGTAGGAAATGTGGGGGTAGGGGTGTGCTGCTGACTCCTTCAGCCGACCCTGTGCCTGTTAAATACAAAAACCATTTTTTCCTCTATCCTGTATAGGACCTGTAATTTCTTATTTTCACATTCAGATTTAGATATATCTTAAACTAACTTAGTAATTTTAGATTTTTTAAAAAACAAATTGCTGGTACCACACATGTCACGGGCCGTGTACCGCCATCGTTTATTCCCTGTTTAAGGCTGTTGGCCCAGAAAGACACACTGTTAAAGACGCTAAATGGTGAAATCTGTTTAGGAATCAAGACATCAAAAAAAAACCATAACCTGAGAGGTGACACTTCCCCTTTTAGACTAGATAAGGGAGTTACCCCCGCCCCGCTCCCCGCACAAAACAATACCTTTGTTTATGAAACAGCTCATTCTAAGAAATTAAAAGTAGCTTTTCTATCCATGAATTTGTATCCAGAGAATGGTCTGACATCCTTGTGCTTTTCTTTGTGCTGAATATGTTATATTATCAAACTTTCTTTTGGTGAAATCAGCTTAATATCTGAAGCGTCCTGTTTCCATCTTATTATAGTAAATAATACAAGCTCATAATTGAAATAAAATAGAATGCGGAAATTGAACGGACATGCTTGATAAGGATATACTCTTGTCAAAATAAGTAAAGCGGAGTAGTCATTTCAATCATTCTGCATATAATAAAAATTTACATTGATTCATAGAAAGTTATCCTTACGGTCAATGGTCGGCCCTGTACTTTGCAATTGAGACGATCAGATACTGAAAGTCAACGTGGCCGATTTAAAAAAATAATCGCTAATTATCGTAACCAAAATCGGCAAGCCAAGAATAATACAAGCTTTTTGCTAATGAAATGTTACTAATTGCACGCAAAATATGGCAATTTTTACTAAGGAAGTCTTCGATTTAGAAAACAGCATTCTACCATACAAAATGGTTAATGGTAAAAAACTGTTTTTGTGCACTCTAATCGAAACTGAATATTGAATAGCAACAAGTTCCATCAAGAAAATAACAAAAAAACCATAAAATCATACCTTTTTACAGTGTAGCACGTCCTCCTTTATCAACGAATGTCACTAAAGCTCTAATTCTCATTCAAAGAATCTCAAAAGGAAATTAAGAATTGACAAAAATGCTCCTTCCCATTGGACGACGATGACAATATTTGTTCTTCATCTAAGCCTGTAAAATTAAAAAGCAACATAGAATTGCATAGTCTCTTTAGTTTTCAAAATTAATGACAGTTGGAATATCACATTTCATACAGCAAACGTCAATAACAGCTTTTATCATTTTATTCCTGCTCATCAAGGAAATTTCTTAAAGTAAACCTTACAGATACTTAAAAATATCAGCACCATTGTTATCAAATTTTTGTTATCAGAAAAAACCTTGAGTTTAAAAGTTTTATTTTCCCCTCTGAAAAGAAGTGTTCCATTTGTTTCTGATTTTTTTTTGTAATTTGAAACAAATTTGTCTCCTTTCTCAGCTCTTCAAGTAGATCTGCCTTCTCGTTATTGGTTTCTTCTCAAGAAGGTACATTCAACGGCTCTTTTTGCTCTCAACAGCCTGTGAACAGGCTTTCTAGTAAAAGATAGGTAGCCCAATAAAAAGAGGGCTTTTCTAGTGGAAGATAGAGAGCCTGTAAAAAAAGCTCTAAAGTGAGGAATTGGTAGCATGTGGTGAGGCTCTCCAGTGAGGGATTTTACTAATGGAGGATATTTAGTCTGTGAAGAGGCTGTCTTATGAATGGCGGAATTAGTAGCCTTCAAACAGGTGTTCTAGTAGAAGATAGGTAACCCGTGAACAGCGAACAATTCTTGCAAGGACCACTTGCACAAACAGTAGCGAGGGAAAGCCGGTCCTGTTGTTGTTGCCTGTCAACAGGCTTTTTAGAGTAAGATAGGCAGCCTTTTAAGAAGCTCTCTAGTGGAAGATAGGTAGCCTGTGAAAAGGCATTCTACTGGAAGATAGGTAGCCTGTGAAGAAGCTTTCTTTTAGAAGATAGGTAGCCTGTGAAAAGGCATTATACTAGAAGGTAGGTAGCCTGTGAAGAAGCTTTCTAGTGGCGGATAGGTAGCCTGTGAGAAGGCATTCTACTGGAAGATAGGAAGCCTGTGAAGAAGCTTTTTAGTAGAAGATAGGTAGCCTGTGAAAAGGCATTCTACTGGAAGGTAGGTAGCCTGAGACATCTGTAAACCTGAAGAAGGCTGGTATGGCCAGCCGAAATATTGTTATAAAAAACAATACACGTTGTTTTAAATCAGCTTTACTGTAGTCTTCGGACTTCTCGTTCTTGTAGCCTGTGAAGAAGCTTTCTAGTGGCGGATAGGTAGCCTGTGAAAAGGCATTCTAGTGGGAGATAGGTAGACTAGGAAGAAGGTTTCTAGTAGGAGATAGGTAGCCTGTGAAAAGGCATTCTACTGGAAGATAGGTAGCCTGTGAAGAAACTTTCTAGTAGGGGATAGGTAACTTGTGAAAAGGCATTCTAGTGGGAGATAGGTAGACTAGGAAGAAGGTCTCTAGTAGGAGATAGGTAGCCTGTGAAAAGGCATTCTACTGGAAGATAGGTAGCCTGTGAAGAAACTTTCTAGTAGGGGATAGGTAGCCTGTGAAAAGGAGATAGGTAGACTAGGAAGAAGGTTTCTAGTGGGAGATAGGTAGCCTGTGAAGAAGCTCTCTAGTGGGAGATAGGCTGACTATGAAGAAGCTGATAGTGAGGGATAGGTAGCCTTTGAACAGGCGTTCTAGTGTGTGATAGAACAAACGTGAGAAAACACGTGATGATGAGGAAGGGAAAGGGGATGGGTCTGTCTCCCTCAATGACACCAAGCTCCCCCGGATCTTGTTCGCCGGGTATGTTTTCAATAACGGGAGCTTTGAAAAAGCATTTCGTTTAGAGATTTGTACGTTAAGAGAGAGCCATGCTGTTAAACACTTATACCATGCCTGAAATAGGAGAGCATTTTTGTCTTACTGGTGCAATGATTAGCCTTCATTTTCTGTTTCCGCGAAAACTCTAAGGAGGCCAGTTTAATAGGAAAAGAAGCAAGAAAATAGAACTGCGATTAGGGTAAGCCGTTGACGAAGAATGGTTGGAACGCCTCCCAAAATATGGATGATTCTATAGTACAAAATCGACAAATCTGAATAAATTACAGACTATAGGCAATTTCCTTATGGCGAAAAAGCCTTTTAAAATAGTGACCCAACGGCGACAAATATCATCATGTCAGTTTGAATCAAGATCTGAATGTCTTAAAATCATGAATAAGACGTTTAGAGTTTACAATGTCTAGAAATTAGTACGACTATGAGAGCTGACTGAGAGCATTTGTGTTCAATATTTTCTAAAAAGTAAATCAACAATTGACGTAATTATCCTTTAGTGTTTCGAGCGCATGATTATTTTACGATACGTTTTAAGTTTCATAAACAAAACTACGGTGGCTGAAGTAAATTCCAGTTGTATGCTATCCGTTGTTAAAAACGATTAACTTTTAAGGCGAGGCCATTGAAATATTCGCATATTCTTGGTTTCATTTCGTTGGGATAAGTTTGTTATTTTTCTTACCACAACCATGCTTGGCTTTTTTCCTCTGTGTTCAGTTATAGATACATATATTGGCTGATAAATTCATTTTAATGCTTCTTTAAAACCTTACCTTGAGCAGCTTTTGTTTTTTCGAGGTTAGAATTCAAGGAAATGTCCACTGAACTAAAGGCCTGAAATACCAACCGGCACTGCCACGTTTTTAGATTTTACATGTTATCGCACTAATGCCTGGAACTCATTAATCAGAGATACAGTAACTGAATCTTATTTGTTAAGTCCTATGTCCGGTCTACTTTAAACACGTGAGTTGAAAACCTCGTGCAGAAATAACCGCACCTAGACTACTTAATATATTAGAATGGATTCTTTTACGTGTCGTTAATATCTCTACAATCCAGCTTTTGCTTGAAAATTGCATTTACGTTTGTTTCCAGTTTTTCTTTAATGTTTATAAGCAGCTGAAACATCCTTTTCCACTCTTAAATTTTTAGAGTAGTATTGACAGAATAAGTCAGGGGTGCTTAACGACGGTTTCCTCCAAAATACGTTGAAAACACTTTTTAGGCTATCCAGAGTACTTTTAGATCTCTAGAAATGCATTCTAACGGCTCTACAAAATTTGCGCCTGTACGGTCATCCTAGAGGAACTTAAGTTTTTTCGAAATCGTAAGAGCTTAAGTATTATTTTTCCGAAAATTTTAGGTGCAATTTAGCGTTTTGAGAATGTCAGAATTTTTCTGATTCCTCTCTCCTTCACTTTTTAGAATCCGAAAATTTTAGGTCTTCTTTTTCTAAGAAAAATAGTGTAACCTGGGTAGTAAAATATGAAAAATTAAACTTCAGAAAATCGAAGGGAATTTATGAGATTAGCTTCGAAAATTGTACATGAACGAATCATCTAGAAATTTTTAGCTGTCCTCAAGCAAAAGAAAATTCTAGGCAATATTTGCTTCTCCGAACAGATGTTTTACGGGAAAAAGTCGTTGGTTGCCCCTGATAAGTGAATAGAACTGACGCGTAATATTGGCATTAGAAACCGTAACAACATGTTTTGCACCACACCAAATAATGTGCCTATTTTTCTCAAATTTGTCACACGTATCCTGCTGTAATAGCCTTTTGAATCCTAATATGGTTTTGAAGACATAGCGGTAGAATTTGAAATGATAGAATAATAAACATGATAGTTCCTTTATATAGGATAAAAGTGGCTTTACTTTTTCAGACAGGGGTGCGTTCGAATGTAACTCTCTCTCAAAGCGCGCAATTGGAGTTTTTCCTTTTACTTTCCTCTTAAGGGTAAAAACTTTCGCGACCGATTTTCAAGTTTCCTTTATTGTCGATAAGATCTGCGGTAATCGATCCACAGGCCGGAGAACGAGCACGGAAATAATAAAATTAGCATATCAAGAACAATTATACTTTTCCTCATTGTTTCGCACTTAATATTCCATAAATTTGTGCTATTTATTTTCCTTTAAGCAAAAGCAAACACACGCGAAAATGGCTATGGGATCCGCAATAGTAATAAAGTTAAATGACAACGTACTGCGCTTCCTTTTTCCGACTTTGGAAACATCATCGTTTACAGTAAATTTACTTGAAGGGGAAAATACTGACGACATTTCAAATCAAGGAAATTCAAGAGGAAGTCGCAAGATTTAGTCTCATTCAATAACAACATTTTTATTACAAAGTGGTCACGTATTCGACGCCCAATATCTTTTTTTGGCTTGATTCCCGTTTAAAACAACACCAAAATATGTGGAATCTGTTATGTGGTTTCTAAATTAAAGGTACTTTGGAAAATATTTCCAAACATCTAATCAAGTGATAATATTTGAGAGAAATATGTTTAACTCTCTGGAATTCGTTGATAAATGCGTTAGGTAAGGGTACGTTAATTATATCCACGATGTTTACAAGCTATTCAACGACAAAATCTATCTTGAAAGGAAGTACGTTTGTTGTGAATTGCAAACTACGATATACTGACAATGTGCTGTCTGTGCTAAGATGTTTTCAATGAACTACAAAAAATATAGTAACTTTGATTACAGGGTTTCTTCAATGTCCCCTTCAATACTACTTCAATGACTTTTGTTAACAATTCGCTGGAAAAGGAGTAGTACGTCCTCTTTTCCAAAAATGGAATTTTATCATACGAATGTTGAAAACGAATAAAACATCTTTTATTTTTTTTCTTTCAAAATTTCCTTGACTTCCTTGGCATGTTTTCCTTGGTCGTGGAAATGGAAAAACTTGACAATTTTTTTACGTTGTCAAGGAGGAAATTGTCAGTCAAGTTCAAGGTTTCAATTTAAACGAACAAGATGTTATTGACAAGAGTCACACGAGAAAATGCACCCTTAAATTATGGAATTATAAACTTAGGCATCAATTCAAATGCGAACGTACGGTCAATTCAGTCTCGACTTCCTCTACCAAAATAACCTTTTCTTCGATCCAGCCATACAAACACACGGAATTACATGTACTTATGCAGTCGAAGCACGTTTTTAATGTTGCATTTAATTTTACGACTTTTGAACAGTATAAAACTAATCAGGTGGTAAAAAAATAACTGGTTGCAATGCATTTGCGAAATATAGATGACTTGAAGCCGGAGATTAATAACTAAAGAAAAAAATTGGACGAAAACAAATAATCCTTTTATCCTATGCGAGAATGAACACAACTTGCATTGTTATCTTGTAAGATCCCTTCAAATAGTATAAAACAGCATTTGTGTGTTATACTGCTTATCTGAGATGGGATTGCATAATATCTCGAAAACTGTATCTGTGCTGCAGATGTCGCGCAAGAAGATAAAGAAACGGGCAGTTCCAAAATCAAAAACCAATTGTATCAAAATCGAAAAACCAAGAAAAGGTAGTCAAGTGAACCAGGAAATATGAAATGTAAGTTGACCCTTCAAGGAAATAACGGAATTTGAGAAACTTACACTCGCACGGCCATAATGAAAAAAAAAGGCAAAAATGGGCAAAATTATGTAATAACTCCATTTTTGAGAATAAGTGTTAGGTATGAAAGAAAACGTATGCTAGCCATAGATGAATAATTCCTCGAGCCTTACATTTAATAAAGGATATGCGTAGCTTATGACTGCCGTGTAACGAAAAAATGTATTACTTAACTGCAAAACTGACCTATCGTACGTATATGCCTCGATAGGAAATCCTCGCGAATTATGTTATAAAAAGGTATCTTTATATAACTCTAGGTTTCCAATCAAACGAAAGGTATCATATATTACCGGTGCTGCATGTGAAAAGGGAATTATCTTCGTGTTATTTTGCTTCAATTCTGCCGAATCAAACCCTTTTGCACATGATAATGTTTAGGAGAAAAGGACACACCTTAATAACTTAGGGCTAACAAGAAACGTGAATCGCCCATCCCAATCAGAATCAACTCGTGAAGATGCACGTATATAAAATTAACTGGAAATATCTGTGTGATTAATCAGATCACAAAAAGATATACGGCCATATGGTAAAACCACAATTTTTGCGCTTCAGATAAATACTGATCATTGTAACACACCATAATGTTTTGCACGAAAGCTGTCACCGGATTTAGTTAAGGAAACACCAAGCCAAAAGGATCTTCATTAAGAAATTTAAATCTGTGCATGAGTTGACCTCCTCAAAGGTAAAGTGTTATTTATCAGTCACCACGTTTATACACTCGACAACTATTTGGTTTCGGTAACCAAAGATACATAGCTGTGGATATACCGAATGTTTTTATCGATTTGAGCTAGTAAAGTACTTACAAATTCGCCCGTTAAAGCTTGCAAATATAGTTGAACCTTTATTAGGCGGCCACCTTTTATCTTTTCGGGTTACTGGCAAGTGGCTGCTCAATGAAGGTTGGTCGCGCAATAGAGGTTTGTCATAAAACCGCATAAACTTTAGCAGAAACATCAGTTTATTTTGAAACAAACGGGCGACGGGAGAAGCATAACTAGTCCACAATAGGTCGTCACTATCTCGACTGTTTTTTCGTTCATCATATTCTTAAAATGAAGCCAATAAAGGAAGTGTAACAAGCGCTTGATGGCCGCTTAGTAGAGGTGCCAACAATGGGAGAAATCTCTTTGGGGCAGCTTGAAGGTGGCCACGGCCGCTCAAGGCACCACTTTTAGGCGAGTCCTTGTTGACGTCCTGAACAGTATGTTCATTCGTCAGTTCTTTGCAATCAATAACAAAGGAAATATGGGCAATAAAAAACTGCCAAATTTTAAACACCAACAGCATATATCATTACCACTATCATCAACAACACTAATTAACACTAACGTATATTGTGTAGTCATCATCATCATCATCATCATCAGCAGCAGCAGCAGCAGCAGCATAAGGACCTTCATGAAAAAAAGCACACAAACTAATTCTTTTCCCGTGAGCCAACGTCGAACAATTGCGTTTCACTGCGCATTACCAGTTAACAACAGTTGCAATACACTTTTCTTGTCTCATAATAAGTATCTTTAAAACTAGGGTATCTAAAAGATAGTAATGCTGCGGCACATTCTGTTGATACTGGAATTAGTTAGGCAGTGGGACTTAAAAGAATCGAAAATGACATTGAATGTCCTATTTACATGTTGGAAAGTACTAGAATAATTACTATCAGTCTATATAAAGAACTCGTGGGAACGTTGTTTAAAAAATGATCAAGTGGTTATCAACTCCGGTTTTCCCACAGTAAATTGTAGGAAATGATAGAAATTCAGATTGTTTATCCATATATTTAATATAGGGTGTACTATCCTTTCTCTGGAAACAAAGAAATTTTTTTGCTGTTTATTGCACTATATTAAGTAACAGTTATTTAGCCATACATTTATAGATAACAACACAAAAAACAGAAAAAAAAGAAAGAAGGAAAAAAGAGATCGTTGGACTCGAACCCGGCACCATCGGCTCGATGCGACAACACCTCACCACTACACCACAGAGACTAACTACGAAGCTATATGAAAAGTCTTTAATTTAATTCCTTTTCCGTGAAACTTCTGCCGGCAAGATGATCGCCAGCCGCACTAATCGAGCTATTAACAGCAAAAAAACAATGTAAACGCATATTCCATGGCAATGAATGAATGAAAGAACATAATTATGCTTTTCAAAACGCCGATACACGTTCCCGTCTGCAACTCAGGACACAAAACATATGTTTTGTTATCTCGATTTCCGCTGTTATTTTGAAGGGAATGGTCAAAATCACATCCATTTTCGGCTCATACAGGTTCTTAAGAATAGCATGGCATGACATTTTCTCACTTTCACATCACCTTCTAGCAAGCTGGAATTTGTATATCCCCCGTGTTGCGGAGTCGAAGAGTACTCATTTTCTCGTCAGGTTTAACACCTGGATGAGTCAAAGGCTCTTGAATTGAAATCCAATCCCCAAGTTAACCATCGTACTCATCTGAAAGACTCCTGCGTGTCTTAAATTTGGTAAGACCTCTAACCGTGCTGTAGAAAATTTGCTACAAAGAAAACTCTGAGTCTGGGCAGCGAGCGACGCGAACTTCCCCGTGTTTTTATTTGACTTGTTCGTGGCGCAATGCACTCTGGTTAAATGCAATGCATTGTGGTAAAAAGTGTGGTTAAATGCAATGCATTGTGGTAAAAAGTGATGAATTCGAGAATTCGTCGCCCCTTATATATTTCCTTTAAATCCTGATTATGTTGCTGCTCGCTCCCTTCGGTCGCTCCGCAGCACTGAATTAACATGCCGTGCATGAAATCTATGCAAGACCTGATCTAGAATGGGCTAGGCTCTGTGAAATACTCAGCCGCTAGCAAAGACCATTTAAGAAATACGATAAAAAGAATAACTCTAGGCTAGACAATATTTTTCTAATAAAATATTTTCTGGAAATTTCAATAACTTACGTATAGAATAGCCCCATTGAGCACAACTTCTGCTTTTTTTATCGTATAGGTTTTCCAAATTTTCCCCACAAACATTCAGCATAGACATTAACATTTTAGTAGCGGAGGTCCTTTTCAGACAACTTAATAACCTCAACGCAATTAAATTCTGTTCAAGAAATGAATGAGAGCTGACATTTCAACGAGTTAACAGATCGAGACTGCAGCTGCCTCGTCGAACTGTCGAGAAACGTTTTCGAGGAGATTCGTTTTCGTTCATCGATCCATACAAAGGTAAAAATATCGTTCAGCGCATTTGAAAGAACTGATTCCAAAACAACCCTGAATATTCAACAAGTTCTTCGTCTTGAAAAAAGCCTGGTTGTAACTCCTTCATCGCCCTTTGAAGGTAGGAAGTATGACTTTTTGGTATTCGCCTTCAGAAACGTCTTACGATTCCATGTCGAAAATGTCGACGCAAAATTTCCTATTTCTCAAAAATCTGAGAAGAAAAATCTCTAAGCTTATGACAGAAACGTTAAGAAAGGTAAAAAAGACGTGTACATCGCTTTTTTTAACTCTTGTATGAACAACGATCTTTAACCCACATTTAACCATTGCCTTATCAGTAAAATCTAGCATCCCTCACAATAAATAATATACTGTTTTTGTTAATTTTTGTCACTCTAAAGTAGGTTTTTGCCCTTCTCAGGCTCAGACCCTTCCAGTTTCTAGGTTTGTTCTGTCGTCTTACATGAAGGAAGACAAGTCCTTAATTGTATGCGTCGCATCCTTCCTGACATTTAACACAAATCAACAAAGATTTCGACGTCTTAGATTTTCTGATTCTCATCACCAACATTTGTGTGCTACTCATAAAATAAGACTGGTTTTCTGCTGTTGTTTTGATAACAAATTCCCAAGTAAATAGTTTTTTCAAACAACGTCATGTGATCTTTTAAGGACACACGTATACGGATATTTTTGACAACGAAGATCTCTTTCTCCGTTTTCAAAAAAATACGCGTCCACGTAGCGTATTTGAATCGCTTATGCCCCTCAACAAGAAATCGCTAGACGATGGAAATACAATAGCATTCTTTACAGAGCATGCCTAATGTAAGTAGCATATGTTGCATTTAACTAATGTACGACATCATCGTATTCGAAAACCTCCTTTTCCGCGCATCCACACGTAAACGAGAAGCCGGCGTTTTAAAAAATGTCCACTCTGAGGACTGCTTTCCAAAACCTGCGTTTTTCATTTGCCTAAACCCGGTTTACGTGTGGACGGACGGCTAAAACAGAGGAAAAAAACCTCTTTTTTCAAAAATATCCCGCTACACGTAGACGGGGCCTTAAGTCTAACCTTCAGGTGTTCGTGCCTAGAGCGGACGAAATAAATCGTGGAATGTGACCAAACAAAAAGTTAATCGCAAGCGATTTACAATACCTCCGAAAACCAGGACCACCGGGGAGGGAGGAGGGGAGGGGGTGGTAGGCCCCAGGGTCTCTCGACAATAGGGACCATAAGCAACGACGACGACGACGTCAGTAATCGGCTCCTGCGAAAACCTATTCCTTAAAAAATATTTTCTTTATGCACATAGTTTCTCAAATTTTCCAGTTTCGGATTCGCCACGACCGTTGAATAAAAGTACTGGACATAGTAATTTTCCATGGTTTGACTCTATCGGAACTGAATATATTCACAAATTCCAGAAAGAAGAAGATTGAGCTGTTTTCACTGATTCTGCCTACTTTTCATTTTTTAATTTCAGCCTTTTTCCTGTCGGTATTTGTTAATATTTACTTTAGGTCGAGACGAATGATTATCATTGAGCAATGTGTACTAGTTTAAGGGTTTCACCTTTCTGCTATTCCGTCTATTTAATATTTAAATAGGTCCACATTTCGAGTCCAGACAAAAATCCAAAAATATGTCTCACTGGCTTTCGTTTGTGGGCATCTGTCTTAGGGCTTATACAAGGGCGGGCATATTATTGAACTGTGGAGAAATTTACATTTCATAAACTGCTGGCCTTATAATTGACGGGAAGAAAAGTGTCAGAAATGTTCCATCGTGCTAATGACAACATGAGGGCATTGACGTCAAACTCATGGGCAAAAAGCTTCTATTATTGAAAATGAAATACCGTAAATGACGGAATAAATGGTAGTAAACTGACCAAAAAAAAAGTGTTTTCACTCACACGGCCAGCAGCTATGCAAATTTATTGGAACAAGAAAAATGTACACAAGAAAAAGGTCCAATGCCCACAAGACTGTGTTAGGACACCAATAGGCGAATCTTTGTTTATACTTTTTGCCTCATTACCATATGCTTATCACCTTCACTAATAAAAACTCTGAATATTGAAAGGGCATAACAGTTTCAGTTAGCTCTGAAAATTTGAACCCAATACACCGAACGGCTTCGGAGAAATTCTCTTCTAAAAACACGAAATTTTACAGAAAATGTTAATGGCTCATTAATTTTTTTACCACCCGTCAATTTCGCCATTTTTGATGGCTGATATTTCCTTCAATATCGCTTGCAAAGAGCTGAAAATTGCACAAATTGTTCAATGTAATCAGCTCTTTCAACTTTGCATTTAGTGCATATATACGGCCACGGCTTCTATGAGTTAAGTCGTATGCAAATGAGGAAAAATGTATTAAACAATGACGTCAGCAAAGATTCCCCTATATGGCGGACGTGCCGTCAAGTGAATCCCCTCCATAGTGTTTGCAACTCCAATAAACACTATATTGTATATGGTAATTTATGATTAATTCCTAAGAATTTTACTCGTGAACACTAGCATCTGCACTTGTCTTATTGTCTTCTCTTAAGCCTGGTTTCCATGTGTTCGCTACGATCGCTATGATCGCTGCGATCGCTGAGAAAAAAAAAATTCAGCGATCGCAGCGATCATAGCGATCATATGGAAACCAATTTCCAGCGATCGTGATCATATGGAAAGCAGGCTTTAGTGTCGTATGTGAAGACAATTCCCACATATTATTGTGGGGGATTTGCTTGAGTTTCGAATTATTACACTTTCTGGAAGGGGGCAGGAAGGGGGGAGTAGCAGCTTAGGGAGTCTAGTTGTATATTGTAAATGGTAGAGAGCGATCTTCTCGTTGTGCTGAGTTATACGGCATGTTACGGTTTTTGCATCAGGAAAGTTTTACCCTTTTTTTTCTCCATTATCTCTTGGATGCTTTCGTAAGTGTAATTTACCAAATTATTCTTACTAGTATTTTAAAGGTTTCCGTCACATTCAAGATAATTTGTACGTTGCAAAATGATGACGCAAAATGTGGTTCACCTAACAATTTTTAAAGAGCTCCTCAGGTGACCAAGTATAAAACAAGGGCTTGATGAATTTCCCCCTCTAGGCATCTTTCATGTCAATTGATAAACGTTTTGCTGCAATTTTTTCTTCTACTTACTTGACAACAGCTTTTGAGGATAAACTCTAGGAAGATACCCCATTGCTCCTAGTCTGTGGGAGGGGTAAACCGGTCTGTTA